TTCTTCATCAACCACTAAAATTGCGGCACGTGTTTTATGGTTGGTCATGTGTGGTGGTAGGCGGCGCAGATGGTGCTACCAAATGATATATATTTTTTTTCCTAATAAAAGTTGCAAATTGAGCCATAAAGTGTCAATTGGTGACCTGGTGTGAAGTGATTCATAGTTTTTTTTTCGATATTCCTTGCAAGAAAATGAAGTTGAAAAAAAGGTAAGACTTTTTATAAAATATGTTCGAAGAAGCTTAAATGTTATCAAAGACCAAGCATTAACGTGTTTTTAAAACATAGTAATAACAAAAATGAATTTTTTGCAAACCATTCGTAGGCGTTTCGAACCTCATTAAAATTTATTTTATTAGAAAATTCACGTATATAGTCGCTCCATCATTCCTCATTTTCCAACTCCTTCTCTTTTTGTCAAATTGCTTCTCAAAACCAAATCTTATTTATAGAAATGTCGGCAACTATTTGAGATTGTTTGTTGAGATTTTTTGAAGTGTGCTAACTTCTTATTCAATCTCGGACACACTACCTACTCCAAAAGCCATACTGCACATCTGATCAGCGGTCAAGACAAACACAACAAATATAGATATTTTCAAATCTTTTAGTCACATTTCTCGATATTATTTTCAACCTTTTTTTGCATCCATTTTGATGTCGCAGTTTACTAATCTATCAAGTTCGCGGCAAAACGCGGCGATGTAATCATGTATGCAACCCATATTCTGCGGGACGGCAGCGGTAACGCGTTGGATTTCGTTTGCGGCGTGCTCCGACAGATGCTTCGTTCGGAAGCGTGATTTCCATTTTGGACAATGCCTCATTTCCCGACATGCGGCTTCGAATTGTCGTAATCGTTGGCAGATAATCTAGTTAAGTTTTGCACGTTTTCTTATGTCGTTCGGACTCGGGCTGTCGTCTTTTATTTACTTTATTCAAGAATGCATTGCGTAACCTACAGAGCGATATATGGGCGTGAGACTTGGCCTTTGCCATTTGGGTATCATTACACGCTCAATGCATTTTTGTTCTGCTGTTCATTCACAAATGTTTTATCGTTCATAAAATGAAAGTTTCCTTTGTAGCTTTCATTTTTTGTTCAATACCCTCACTAACACTTTGAACGCCAATAAGGTGCGCAAAAATAAAAGTTTGGCCTTTTTTCTGAAGTACACAAAATTGTCGAAAAAAAAACTCGGCGAAAAATTCGAGAATAAGCGCCAAATGGCGGCCGCAGCGGCGGCTGTCATGCTTCTAGATTATGAATGTCGCTTTCCCATGTTCGTGTTCGCACCCCTTAGGAGAAGCCGCAGATATCATTGGCGTTAGTTTTGTTTTTTGTTTGCGTTTCCATCAAGGTTTTTGAAACATGCTTTGCTCCCCAACCGGACTCTCCACTCTACCCATCCCTAGCTTCCAACGATTAAAGCAATCTCAGAAGTCATTTATTTCCCAACTTTTTTTTCCGCCGAAAATTTCTTTTCTTTGATACATGTTATTTGAGCGCTCTTGATTTCCTATCTCGTCGAACCAACCAGAAGTCGGTTCGTTTCTTAGTAACGTGGCTCAAGTTCACATAAAAAAAAAGAAAATTTGTTGGAACACGAGCCGACAGCTTCCCACCCTTTTCATTCGAGAAAAGAATCTTCCGGGTTCCGTTTATTTCTTGAGTGCATTGCTTCTCCTGATCAAATGCGAAAAACCAATTAAAAACATTCTTGTGGTTTCTGATTACTCACTACAAAATAGTTCTCTCGTTTAACTATTACTTGATTAGCATAATGTGCGCTCGCCTTGTCATATTCTGCCACAAATTGATAAGAAATGACTTCTAGATTATTCGGTGTGGTATCTTTTTTTGCTACAAATCGAAAGGTTTGCCTCTTCGTTTTCTTCTGAAATGTGTTCGCTGCTCCATTTCTTCCGCAACCAACGGAGCCACCGAGACGCGTGTGCTCGTTGAACCACAGCAGATGCATCTTACACTTTATCACATATCTATTGAATGGCTCTTTTCACCACAATAATATTCATGAACAAAATGTGAAGCGACATGCTATGATACGGAAAAATGTGTCGACGGTCGTTTTTTTTTTGACAGCTCGGCAGTTGTGTTTACATTTCGCTTTTTGTTCGTTATCATTAATGGACGGGGTCCAACCAAACTATCGATTTGATTTACGCAGCTTATCTCCCAAACGAAAATTAATTAGCGTTGCTCGAAAATTTTGGTGGCCAGTGTAAAATGTTTGTGTTTTTCATCAATCTTCCACAAGTGTCGCACGCCACTTGGGTTAGTTTGTCCTTCGTTTTACTCCAATGAGCATCTTTACTTTAACCTACTAACATTCATAAAAAATGAGCTAAGGAGCAAAAACTCATTAAGAAAACCATAAAATCTTTTTTTTCAATTTGTTTTTTGTTGTTGTTTTTTTTCTTCTTCTTCTTCCAATGCTATGTGTTCTCCGACGCAAAATTTGACAGACGCCTAAAGGAACTACTCACGATCAAGTCGAATTGTTATTCTGACACTTTGCCTTCTCATCTCTTTTTCAGAAGATGCGTCGGCGTGCTAATCCACTATTGAAACATATCCGTAGGCAAAAATGTGATCTACACAAAATTTCTACTTTTGGGGCCCATCTCTATCTCTCTCTCTTCTTCATTTTTTTTGCGTTGAGTTTGCGATTACTTGTCGTAAAAACCTAGACTTTTCCGAATGAGATGAATCTATTACTAGTATATATGCCCGCCTCATCGAGTGTACTTATATGGAGCGCATTTTTATTGCTGTGCTACCATTGGAAAGGCATTCTAATAATTATTTTCAAATTAAGGGAATTGAAGTGAAGTGTGCGGTGTGTACTTTAGGAAATAACTTTTTTTTCCTCGATTTCTTTTCTTTCTTATGTATACCTAGAATTTGAGCAGCATACTATCGAAACAGCAATATTTTGTAATAATCAGCGAATTAATTATATAGTAAGTTATCAGTACACTATTCTTGATGAAGAATTAAATTTCGAACGATCTTCAAAAAATCTGTTGTTCAGCTGCCTTCTTTCATTTATGATTTTAAACTTTTGAAGAACATGATCGAACTACTGATTCCTGAAGTAAATAAAAATTAGTGCCTTACAAGCTTATAATATAGAAAAACATTATAAAATTGGTCAGAAAAGTTGGAAATGTGTTCCTTTCTTGATGTGTTTTTTTTCTGGGCCATCCATAAAGCAGCAGTTTTCTAAGCGGTCATATTTTACATTCCGTCCACGAATTGCAGTGGTGGATTTTCGTTTCTCCCCTCCCCCCCTCCCCTCAAAATAAAGTCAAAAATAGAAGATTTCATTAAGTTCCTTGTGACCTTCTTGAATGACGGAAGTCATGTTGTGTTTACGTAAATATACGATAACTCGTCAAATGAAATGATTTCATTAAAGGACAAGTTGGATTTTATTAGTTCATCCCACCCATTTGCGACTGATCAAAAGAAAGGCGTTAATAAAATGAGCCAAGTTTCAAACGCAATGAGATTTCGAAAGACGTCGAAACAAGTAAAAAAAAAGTTTGATGCCATTATCATCACCATCTGCAGCAATTTTAGTTGCTCAAGGCCTGCTTTTTTTCGACGCTTACTAGATGTTCATCAATTACAAATGAGAATGTCAGAAGAACGAGCTTTTTAACATTCATCGAACTTTCCCTCATTGCTGTATATTTTAGCTGGTAGTCGTTTAAAGCAAAAAATGTATTAAAAGTGACGTCAAATTTCGAGAAAAAACTTTGGTAATATTTATATCTGCTTTCTTTTCATCAATTTACAAACTACTTTGAAAACATTCCATAATGTTTATTTATTTGCAAATTTTTCAACCAAGTCTTTTTTTCAATGTGTATGTCGAATACATACATATGTCATGTAAAGAGATTCTCGTCCCCCCGTTTTTGGGTCCAACTAATCCCTCCTCTTCTCCCTAGAGCGAAACGCCTTCCCAACTAACATGACACACGCGGTGGGTCCTATCCTACCCCGGTATTTTTTGTGTCGTTCTTGTTTTTACGAAATTTTTATTTCGTATTCTTACATATCAAAACATCTATTTTTGTTTCTGGTTTCTATTACGTCTTTCGGTTTTTATTATTTTCCATTTAATTTTACATGAGAGATTCATTAGAAAAAAAAACATCTACATGTTTTGCTTGTCGTGATTTTTCATACAATGAACCACGGGATTCGTCGAATGAATGAATTTTTAAATTGTTTGCTTTGAGCAGTCCGAATACTTATTGGACGCGAGTAAGCCAGCCAGGGACATTAGTTTAACAATGCCTGTGAATGTGTTCGAAAAACACTCTAGCCGACATTTAAAAAATGAGCTTGCCCTTTCCAATGTTTCAATTGCTCCAATTATGGACCAACAAGGCTCGGAGGTTCTTGAAAATATATTTAATAGAATCGTAGATTATTTTTATGGATGGGCTATAATTTTTGGGAATTTTAGACTAAAGGAAATTGTAAGCCAAATTGAGAATTTCTGGTAGTTTTTCTTTTTCTCATTTTTAGTTCTCTTGTAGTCACCATTTCAATTTGCAACGTTCTTTCACCACCACCACTCATTCAACTCGTAAAATATACTCGCCGAATGCCGAATGCAATGTATTATCGAGGAGATTAATTTTCCGCCAATAGGAGACGTTCAGATACGGTGGTTTAATTTTGACTAGACGGATGCACATTCACAAAATATCACATAGTGCTTTTTCAGCATTGAGCTGACCCCCGCCCTCTCTGCTTCTCATTTTGATATATTTATAAGACGTTGTTCTCATCGATTATTGCTTCGTATAAAACCCATTTTTCCTTTGACGTTATTTGCTTAGCGCAAGGGTGTGTTTAATTTCTGCCAGAAATCGAGTCTTCATCAGTTTTTCATTTGATTCTTTTATTTTAGATGTGCATTTGAGAAACGAAAAGCAACGAGAACTTGGGCAAAAATGGCATTACCTGGCGAAGATAGTGCCGTTAAGGTCGCGATTCGTGTGCGGCCATTCAATAAGCGAGGTACACATATTTTTGAACTTCACATTTTCAATTATAATAAATTTTTCGCGTTTCCAGAAATCGACTTGAATACGAAATCAGTTGTAAAAATAAACAAGGAGCAATGCATCCTTAGTCATCCAACGGAAGAGTAAACTACAAAATATCATATGCGCTGTGAACTCCTAATGATTTCAGCAAACAATCCAAGACGTTTACCTTTGATCATTCCTTTTGTTCAACAAATCCGAATGATCCAGAATTTGCAAGCCAGGAAACGGTTTGTTACCATTTGGGATCTGGAGTAGTCGAGAATGCGTTTGCTGGATACAATGCTTGCATTTTTGCTTATGGTCAAACAGGTGAACTGATTATCTATTTTGGAAAAATTGACTGAACTTTAATTAGGATCTGGAAAATCTTATACAATGATGGGATCCAATGATCAACCTGGAATTATTCCACGAGTGTGCAATGAGGTAGCAAATAATTCCGAATCAACCAATTTATGGAACTTGTTATTTAAGATTTTCACCCGAATCAAAGAAACTTCCAATGATTCTTTGTCATTCAAAGTTGAAGTTTCATATATGGAAATCTATAATGAGCGAGTGCGCGATCTTCTCGACCCCAAGAAGTCGAGTAAAGCATTAAAAGTTCGCGAGCACAAAATACTTGGCCCCATGGTTGATGGATTGTCAATACTTGCCGTGAATTCTTTTGAAGTAACCGCTTTCTAAGAAAAAGAACACGTCATTCCTATTTTTTCAGCAAATTTCAAATCTACTCGAGGAGGGAAATAAGTCGCGAACGGTTGCCGCGACTAATATGAATGCTGAGAGCTCGAGATCTCACGCAGTCTTCAGTGTCATTCTTACACAAACACTACGTGATCTTGAAAATGGGTTTAGTGGTGAAAAAGCGGCAAAAATATCGTTGGTTGATCTTGCCGGAAGTGAGAGAGCAGGAAAAACCGGAGCTGTTGGGAAGAGGCTGGAAGAAGGAGGAAACATCAACAAGTAAAAAAATGACTATTACGTGAAAACAAAACGGATTTATAGGTCGCTAACAACTTTGGGAATGGTTATTTCTGCGCTAGCTGAGAGAACAAATTCAAAAAAAGAAAAATTCATCCCATATCGAGATTCTGTTCTTACATGGTACTTTGAAAATGAATGGGAAAACGATTATCGGTAACATTTAAGGCTATTGAAAGACTCTCTTGGTGGAAACTCGCGGACTGTTATGATTGCTACTCTTTCTCCAGCTGCGGACAATTATGAGGAAACACTTTCCACTTTGCGATATGCTGATAGAGCGAAGAAGATCGTGAATCACGCTGTTATCAATGAAGATCCGAATGCGAAGGTTATTCGAGAGCTTCGTGAAGAAGTTGAAACGCTCAGAATGCAGATCACACAAACCAAAAAAGAACATGCTGTACGTTATCTCAAACTATTTCCTCTATATGGTGTTATTTATTTCTTCTCAGGAAACTCAAGAACTTCGTGATCGCTTGGCTGAAAGTGAGCGTTTGGTTGCGCAAATGAACAAATCTTGGGAAGAGCGACTCAAAGAAACTGAAACTCTCAATAAGGTACTGTTATTTCTTAAAATGATTTGCAATTTTAATAAGTTTACAATTTCTTTTGTTGCAGGAGCGCCAGCGTGATTTGGCAGAAATTGGAATTTCCGTGGAATCGAGTGGCATCAAGGTTCATTATTCATTAATTGCGTTTCTAATGAGAAGTCCCAAAGTTCATGTATAGAAGAAATTTCTGAACCATGAATTTTTTTGCACTACTCATCGAAACGCATCCATCAACCCATTTCCTTATTTCGCCTCATCCCATAAAATTCTCATTTAAGGTGGAAAAGGATCGCTTCTATTTGGTAAACATGAACGCTGATCCATCTCTCAATGAGCTGCTCGTTTATTACATCAACGTAATACCAATTCGAAATTTGGTGCAAAAACCGCACATCACATAAATATTGTAGGGCTCGGCAATTATTGGGAATTCCGAGGAATTGGAAACGAGCCGTGACTCGGGATTATCTATGTCAATGGGCGAATTAAATGGAAAGAAAGAAGAAAATGGTAAACGGAAACACATAATTGAATTTAGCATATTAATGGTTTTTAATATAATTTTCAGAGCGCACGAGTATCGTGCTTAGGGGTCTCGGTGTAATGAGAAGGCACGCGAAATTGACAGTGGAGGAATATGGTGGAAAACCGAGATTGTTCGTCACACCATTGGGTGCCGAATGTCGTATTTGCGTTAATGGAAAACAAATCAGTGACAAAACTTTGCTCCGAAATGGAAATCGTCTTCTCATTGGAATGAATCACTTTTTCAAAGTTAACTGTCCCAAAGTTATCGACATGGAACAGTCTGTTATGGAAGACAGCACCATATTCGATTATAATGATGCCTGGCATGAGGTCAATGATTCAAATCCCATTAGTTCTGCTGTTGATCAGTATATGGAAACGGTGACATTAAAACATCAGGTAGTTTCAAAAAAAAATTTTGCACACAGCAAGATTCAAAAATGTTCAGGAGGATAAAAAAGCTGCTCTTGAGCAGCAGTATGAAGCTTTCGAAAAATATATTCAATCTTTAACCGCTGGCGGTTTCACCCCTTCCACACCAATGACACCAGGATTTGCACTTCCCACCCCAATCACGACACCGACTGGTTTGCCGCCGTTCCCATTTCCGACCAACCCTAAGCAATCAGTGAAAAGCAAGTTTTTCTACTGGGCACAACGAAAGTAATGAGAATTTGCTGATTTTTGGACCTTTGATGTTATTCCTTTTAGAGAAGAAATGTTTTCCGAATCGCTGAAACGCCTGAAAGCTGACGTCATTCATGCGAATGCGCTGGTTCGCGAAGCAAATATGATTTCTCGAGAGCTCAATCAGGGTTCCCGACGTCAGACAACATATGACGTGACGCTTCAGATTCCAGCATCAAATCTTAGGCCAATAAAAATTAAAGTGATACTTTGAAAAAGAGGGACGAAAATAACGAAATTTGAATTTAGGCTGGAGCTTTTGTGTGTGAACCAGTAATTGTTGTAAAGCGAGAAGGAATGAGTGGCAGCCAATTCTGGACAGTTTCACAACTTGAAAGTCGACTTGTTGACATGAGAGAAGCCTACAATGATATGATTAATGGCTACACTAGGTTAATGGATCATACAAGATATTATTTATTAATTTGAGTTTTTTTTTAGATCTACTAATTCTCTACAAGCAACCCCCACCGCTTCACCAGCAAAAAGTCTTGGTGGCCTTTTAGAGCCATCACCATTGGTCATCGATCCCTTCTTTGAAAGCCAAGAGCATCATAACTTGATAGGAGTGTCTAATGTTTTTCTAGAGGTCTTGTTCCATGACCTAAGACTTGATTATCAAGTAATGCTAATGCATAGTTTTTTTTTTCAAACATCGATGATTGTTTTCAGGTTCCTATTATTTCTCAACAGGGCGAAGTTTCTGGCCGACTACATGTTCAAATTTTCCGGGTTATGACTCAGGAAGAAGCTGATCAGTCAACAATAGATTCCACGTACAATTCACCGGATAGCTTCCTTGGAAAAACGATTACTTGTCGTGTTCGCATAAAACGAGCATCCGGAATTCCGGAGAAGCTATCGAATTTTGTATTCTGCCAATACTCGTTCTTCAACATGTCGGAAATGTTAGTTGTTGCTCCTGCAAATGAAGCGGCGACATCGGCGCATTCGCCGACAACCGTCATATTTGAACATCAACGGGTATGACATCTTTTTGAACCTAATTAGTTTGAAATAGCTATTTTTAGGATTTCAATGTCATGGTTACCGAGGAGTTCATGGAATACGTCCGAGATGATGCGCTCTCGATAGAAATTTGGGGTCATCGTGTGTGCGGACATAAGGAAGATCGAGTGTTGGACACTGATGAGAAATCCAAGTCATTGCAAAATCGATGGATGGAAGTGACACGCCGCATCGAGTTTTGGACTGAAGTGAAGGAGCTGAACGATAGTGGAGAATGGAGCAGTGTCGAATGTCGCCAGGCCGATGACGTGGCTACTGGCGGAATATATCAACTAAAGCAAGGACAGCAACGACGTTTGGTTGTAGGAATTGATCTTGTTACAAGTGATGGATTGCCCCTTGGAATTGATGGAATCACTTCCGTCAGCATTGGCGCAATCATGCCAGTAAAAGCTGGATCTCAGCAAAAGTCTGTAGACAGTTACCAAGAAGAAGATTTGGAAAGAATTCGAAAACAATGGTCCCATGCACTTAAAACTCGTCAACTTTACCTGCAACATCAACTCGACACGGTAAGTCCTTATTCGGAATTAGATAGCTAATCAAAAGTTTTAGTTATCATCGAAAGCGAATAAATCTGAATCAGAACTTGAAAGAGAGCACTCATTGATGGGTCAATGGGTTGCACTGACCGAAGAGCGTACTGCTGTTGAATGCCCTGCACCGAATTCATGCATTCCAGGAGCACCATGTGATTGGTAATATTCTTTTTCATACGAATTACTTATAAAATCTATTACTCATAGGATTGCACCGGAAGGTGTTGAGAGACACATTCCTGTTCTGTTTTTGGATCTCAATTCAGATGATATGACTGGTGAAATGACAAGTGATGAAAGTGTGCCGCGAATAGCTGGAATGCACTCAATTCTCCCAATTGAACCAGAAGGAACTATGCTCATGCTCCCAATCCATGATTATAATGATAAGGAACACATTGCCACGTGTTCCTGGGATACTTCAATTCATGACAGTTATTCGTTGAATGTTCCAACTCATGCTAATGACCGAGTATACGCCATTGTTAAAGTGATGTTACGCCTATCCCATCCGTCACCAATGCATATCGTTCTTCGCAAAAGAATTTGCTTACAAGTGTACAAAAAGCCAAGTCTGACTGAGAAATTGTTCAAACGGATGATGGGAAGCGAAACCATCCATAGAACATCAGTTCTTTATGATATTGTCGGGCATATTCCAAAGGTAAATCACACATCCATAAATATTTATTGTATTTAATTTCTTTCTACAGTCTTCGCAAGACATGGAAGATCGATCTTCACTGGCAATGCTCGCGGCCAAAGAGACTTCAGTTATTGATGAAAGGAATGGGAAGCCGGAAAATTGTAACTCTAAGAGCCAGCAACCCCTCAATTATATCGAAGCCTACACAAAGAGCATTCAAGCGGTATTTTGTGCCTTGAAATATTCTAAGATATTCTTTTCTTCAGGTTGAGTCAATGCTCAAGCTAGACAGATTGCGACAAGAGGTGGCAATAACTAATATGCTTTCTAAGAAGGAGAGATTAGCAAGAATCCAGAACTTTGGATTGCCAACTCTTCGAATGAATAGAGCAGTTAGTCTTCCTAATGCGATTTCTTCTGCTGGACAGGTACATTTTGTTCAAAATATTGTGTTGCTTTATTCAAAAGCTGTTTAGCTTAATCCGAATGAACGCCGAAGCGATACACCGATGAGTATTTCATCATCAAACTCGATGGGTAAGAATTTCAGCTTTCCCGGCTTCAAGCTTTTCAGAAGAAGAAATCATGATATGAGGAAAGCATTAATTGCGAGACATACATAAACATATTTCCGCTTTGTTAACCGCTTCTAGCTAACCATCTTTCCAGCCAATTTTCGTAATTTATCGACATTAGAAAGCAATAAGAAAATACCAAAACATTCGTGAGCACGATTCAATTATTTCAATTTTCGTTTTCTTTCGCTTCACTACTTTAATTTGACACTCACATTTCACTTCTCCCAATTTATTTTGTCCACTTCTCGATTGTTCTGAACCAGCGACTTCTCGGGCACACACTTCATAAATACATCTACTAGTTTGCTTCAACCATCACTAACAATGTTTTCAGCGCGCCCCACATCTCTAAATCTGAAACCTCTTTGCATTGGAAAGTGTAGGTTTTTTGTTTGTCGAAAGTGATATTTAGTTTTCCAAAACTATTCTGTTGCATGATATTGTCTGCATGCGCATTTCTGTTCTGTCAAAATACGTTACAAACATGTTTCTTCAACGAACCAGGAAAAGGATTGAGAGAGAAGAGAAAGAGAAAGAGAGAGAGAGAGAGATTGTGTCAAAAAAGGAAAGCCGATGAGCAAAATCTTAATTTTGCATGGTGTTCCAAATATGTTATTCGAGTTCAGATATTTGAAATTGTCCAATTATTATGCCGGTATATTAACGGCAATGTTCGGTCGAATGTGTCTTCGCGCTTCAAAATTTCAATCTCAGGATTGAAATGGAATGTTTATTAAACGTATTGAAGTTCTTGTTTCAGTAACCAGCATTGTGAGCCCATTCAATGATAAATTGGCGGGAATTTGCGAGGAAACAAAAATTGAAGTATTTCCTCAACGCTTTTAAGCTGTTTTTCAAAACAATTTGAATTGCAGACTATCCCGACTAGATCGTCAACTGTTCCTGAAACCATGTGCTTGTCCGCAGCAGCGTCCGCTAATGTAATACGAAGTCGCCGCCAAAATCTGTAATTGAATTGTTTGCAGTGTCACACAGAAGACGTAAAAAACGGAAATGAGTCAAAGCAAGAAAATACAACAATGCCGCTCAAGAAACCAACCGAGTTGTCGCGCGCATTCGAAACTAAATTATGTCTTCCATTGGAGAATAACAACGAATTTAATGCAAAAAAGCTTCAGAACGGTATAGAATTTCCTCTTCACGGCTTTCACAAAACGATATCCTTCAGGTGACCTAGTAGATCTCAAAATCAATTGAAATACGATGCCTCCTTAGTACATGTCGCAAGGAATGCTGAAAATCGGGAACAACAATATATTATTGTCATTTTGTAACAAATAAATTTACCAGTTTTTTTATATGGCTAACACTCGCTTTTTGCAATGGCTGTGAAATAATATTTCATTTGATTTTTTAAAATCAATTGTGATTGCTGTAATTTTTGCTTCTGAATAAATTCTAGAATATATTATCTGAAAGTTTAATGAAAATACACAGGTAAAATGCGGTGGACACATAATGTATCCACCGTTGGACATCAGGCATATGACCGTATATACATAATATATACTATTTAGATTTGGATCCCACGGTGGGTATTCTGTCGGTTGCATATTTTTTTTGTATATTCACTCTATGCGGTTTCGACTGAATATTATATGGTAGCAAATTTAATTAATGATGTTATATCATGTAGTGTCTGCTAGATGGAACCATACACGATTTTTGTAGACTCGCAATGTGTCCGGCACATTAAAATTTCGAATGAGAGACAGTAAATACGAATAGTTGAATTAGAGAGGTGAAACAAATATGCAACGAAATTAATTTTTTGTTGCTTCATATAGTTCGAAATAAAGAATGTTAGCCTCCGACGACTGACGAATGGGGGAAGGGGTTGATTTCCGAGCGTTCTGGTCTGTAAAACGTGACAAGACCACGGCGAGAGACGCGTCCACGAAATCTACTCCCAAACATTAGTCATCGCATGCCGAATTCGAAACTTTGAAAAAAAATTTTTCGTTCATTATTAACATTTCGAAGAAATCGTAAGACTACTCTACACCAAATGCAAATTTATTAAATATAAGTGAGATCAACTAAAAGTGTAACAACGCTGGAGTAAAAACAGATCCATAAGAATAATTACTTTCAAACAATTACAATTCAAAATGTTCTCTGATTGTAGGCATTCCAAAATATGTTGATGGCAGTTTCATTGAATGCATATGATCTCTTTCGCGTTTAACAATATGAGAGAATGTTGAAACACAATTTCCCAAGAACATATCAGATTGGCCGAGAATAACCAAAGCTACATACATATCTTCTTGATCGAGACGATAAGCTTTAACCTAAAGTATTATGGAATTTTTAATACACTAGGTACTACGCACGTCATATGCTTGCAACGCCGCATTGATTTCTGAAAGCATGTGGTCGCGATCACTTGTTACAAATACAGACTTGGCTCCTATCAATCCCACTTGATCAGTTATCTGAAAATGATCTACTTATCATATTTAAGAAATCAGGATAACATACTTGATCAATTACATCTTTTGGACTAGGTAAACACATGTCCTTTGTGAGAATCCCTTTATGATGACCTTCTCCAAGACACTGCGCTGAGGCGAACAGCGGAAGATTTTTCTTTTCATCAATATGCTCACAAACTCGAAGCTGAAAATAATAAAACGATATTAAAATTTATAAGTATCTTACCCAATCTCTATCATTTCGTAAATGAACGCCAAGATATGGACGACGAAGGTTTTTGTCAATAAATTTTTTTGCTTCCTGTTTAATTCTAGAATTCCAAACAAGATGCCTTAAAAATGCAATAAGTGTATATCACTATTAATATATTTTATACTTTTGCAATGGCCAATGCTTAGCTTTCGAAGGAAATGGAGCAGGAGCGCTTGGGAATGCAAGAACACGATATTCTTCAATCGGATACCTATTAAGTAACGGGAAATAATGAAAGACGTAATATCACGGTCATACTTTTTCATCCATCCTTTTCTATTACCCATTTGAGATGTATCAAAACCACCAGGGATGTCGGCGAAATATTCATCGCCAATAAATTCAATCTTGAATTTATCCCAATATGGGCCAAATGGTGATCCTTCTTTAGCATGGCATCCATCGGGAGCAGTTTTATTGTAAATCGATTTCTTCGGTGTCCAGCAGAATGCTTTATAATAGAACTAACATTAAAATATACTAACAGAAACACAAACCTAAACGTTTTTCTTGTGGCCAGATTCTCGGTGCAACGTTTCTTACGAAGTCAAACATGCTTATTGTATGAACGTATTGCTCAATATATGAAATTTGGAAAATATTTTCAAACGGTACTATTTTCTGAATTTTAAACGACATAAACCTTCAAATGAAATAGAAAACTCACCGTGTTTGGATAATCATACTCAATAAAATTCGGCAAAACTAAAAGCCGATCAATTGATTTTGCGAACTCCATTACTCCGAGAAGTTGATCGACTTGATTTCCAAACCTTCCTATAGCCAAATGATGAAATTATAAAATATTTAACTTTCATTTCTTACCCATGCATGGACAAAACACAATATATCCTCTGAGTTTGCGTGAAGATATTCCGCTCGCAAGAAAAAGTGCGATTGAGAATAACGAAATTCTCATTTTATGTGTTTAGATTAGTCAATGACAACCTTAAACAAATCAATGTTAAATAGGGGAACGTTAAAAAGCCAACTGATATTGATAATGTAGATAAACAGAACAAATAGCGAAACTGCCAACACACAAGATAATGGTTTTATCAAATTGTAACCCGTAATCGAATAAACGACAAATCAATGGCGAATGATGACGAAGAAAAGAAATTCTACACAATGTCACGATTCTGGTAGAGTCCTGCTAATTGTTACATTCGGAATATATATAATTACAAGACAATTAATACAAAGAGGAGAAAAAACAAAAGAGCGCTGAGAATGAAGATCATTTTGCACTGGCTAGCATCTGCAAATTGTTCGATTAAAAACAGGGACGAGTGAGCGACAAACCGTCTTCCAAATGGGCTAGCTTGGCCATTTTTTTCATAACACCATCCAATTTTGTATCAACGTGCTCCATATCTTGCCCAAGCTCGTCCAACATTCTGAAAAAAAAAAATTCTAAAATTTGTAAGTGAAATGGATTGAAATTAATGTGCTGTTATTCTTTATAAGAAGAATCATTGAATTTTCTACTTGAATGTTTTGTGAGATTTACATTAATATATTTTTCATTCTATTTCAATTTTATCTATTTTTAAAATAGGTGAAAAATAAATAAATATGCAGTCTTTTTGAAATTTTTTTTTCAAAATCATATTATATATGAAAACTAAAATCTTACATTGCTTGCTCCTCCAGTTCGTCTCCAATTTGTGCGCTCATTCCCTTAAGTGTTCTGACAGAGTTACTGACCAATTCTAATTCCACATCTTGATCGCGTATGATTTTCTATGTTAATAATAATTAATCATTGTAATCTTAAAAACAACAAATCGGCCCTAATTAATTAGCTCACCAATATTATAGCTTATCCATTGAACATTAATTAAAAATTACCTCCTGTCTCTGCAAAATTTGTTGAGTCGATGCTCCATCTTCAAGTGTTTCTTGCTCGTTGAGGCGCGAGTATTTATAGCTCATTTTCTAAATTAAAGATATAATTTCTGCAATGATATGATTATTTTTGCAAGTAAAACATCGGTTTCGAACCATTCAATAGAAAAAAGAATAGAAAATTGTTAATAATCTATATCATTTACATTTAAAAAATAAATAAACCCGCAAGGAATCGAATAACCTTAAAACTGGATACATTGAAAACAATTGGATATGTAATAATAAATAACCAGGAAATTAAAATACGAATGACACAAATAAATTAATCCACAGCTACTTTTTATCGATTAGTTTGAAATCATTCGCTGGCACTTTCAATACGCTTCCCATGGCCTTTAAAATGGCTTTGCTCTGCATATTTGGCGAACTCATTGTTTGCAAATATTGTGTGAAGATGTTTCGCAGATAATCAATTTCATTCGACGATGACAACATTTGAAGTTTTCCTAAAAATTGAAAAAAAATTTGATTCGGAGATTAAGTGCTATTGAGAAACCTTCGAGTTTGCGCACATTTTCGGTGAGTTCATCTACTTTTGCTACTGACTCGAGTTGTTTTGTCATTGAAATTGCTTCACTTTCCCGCAAACGCACTTCCAAATCCATTAACTGCTTTCTGAAATGTGTTGTCAGCAAAAAACTTTTGAAAAAAAATAATTGATTACCTCAGATCCTGAATATCAGACTCTTTCTTGGAGATTTGATTTTCGTAATAGACATTTTTCGCGTCAGGATCCGCGGCAATGGAATCATCTGTAACAAAATTGACGCGTCATTTCTCTTAAATTCACTAATGCCAAACATAATTTCTGACATTTTCCTATCATTCCACTGAGAAAAACTTTTTGATAAGGTTCTCACACAATATAAAATAGAAATAAATTTATAATACATTCAAATATATTTTTTCTTAATATCAACATCTTTAGCCAGTTGGAAGAAACTTCTCCAAAAGATTTGATCCGTTGCTCAAATATTATTCGCCTTGAAAAAATTAATCAAACAATTCCGTGTTGTTCAACAATTTTATTCCGGTTTTGTTTTTGCGGAAATTGCCCGTCCATCACATTCTACTACTCAAATTGTGCGAATTTCCAATAGCAATTTTCTAATTTTTAGTTCTTTAAGCTACTTCATTTTAAATAATCGTATTTTAAAATGTATAATTTGTCATTAAAGGGATGAAAGTGCGGATTTATTCCTCGATCTCCTACGAATCATATTTTATTTGCTTCCAATTTACACTTTCATTCGAAGAGACCAAAGGGTGAATTGTTATAGTTTTTGTAGAAATTGGTTATTAAACAAACCGTTTAAAAAAGTTAAGGCATACCTTGGGAAAATGTTCGACTTCTTCTTATATGCGATACATCTTCTTCTGGCGTTGTTGACCTGTTGTGTCTCGATAATTTGCGGCTTGATTGTGATTTTTCCATTTTCTCATTTCGAAAACTTACTAACATTTTTCTATAAACAATTAATCATTGAGAAATAATTCGTTAAACCATTTAAACCTAAAAGCTTCGATCTCTCGGTCTCTCGAATCGATTTCCTCCTGCGCTCTCTGTCTTTGTTTCGACACCTCGTTTTCAAGTTCGTCTATAAAAAAATCTGAATTGTTTCACGCGTTCTGCACTACTTACTTCCTTTTATTTTCTCATCCATCAAATTATTCTTCAATTTGTTGACTTCCTCTTTCACTTGCAGAATGAATTCGTCTTTTTGTTCAATAATCTTGAGAAAAAAACTTTTTAATACAACATTCTTTCTGAAATTGCCAACCTTGTCAAGCTTGTTCAACTTTCGAGTTATTTCGGTCTTAATGGCATCTTCTTCTTCAAGCTTTGCATTTAATTGCTCAACTGTTTTTTCTAACTGAAATTAGAAAATAGACTTTATACATATATAAATTGTATTGCAAGTAACCTGTTTCGTTCGAGATTGCAACATTTTAAGCTGTTCGGAGTCTTCAGAAACACTCTGGGCATTTTTGATTAATTCCGAAATGTCATCACGCAAAATGCCACAACAAAAGTCTAAAAAATGAATAGACTTCATATTAATTATCTGTTTTTATTAACGAACCTAATGGAGATAAATTGGATTGTCTAAACGTTAAGTATTCTTCATTCATCAAGTCTATAAAACTTTTCTCCTCTTGTGTTGCAACATTAGGCAAAATTTCAACTTTATTCAGTTGCTGAAATTTTGAAATTAGCTAGTAAGCTCATACTATGCTAAACCTCTCGAAGATCCGCATTTTCAGCTTTCAGTTTGCTCACAAGCGCATTAAGCTCGATAATTTCGTTTTCTCTCTTGTCGCATTGCTCGGAGAGTATCATTATTTGATGCTACAATTACAGTTTATATTAAAGATATTTTGCATAGCTTACTTCAAGCTTTATAACTCGAAAATCATCTTCTCGTTTTCCAGGATCTATTGAATTTTCTTTTGGTGCTTCTGCAGCACTTTTCTTTTGATCAAGTTGCAATGAAGCAAGTTTTCTTTCTAAGTATATTGATCTACCATGAGCATCTTCGTAAAGTTTTTTGAATTGCTCGCGCTCTTCTTCCAACGTTTTATTCATTTTCTGCAACGTTTAATTTATTTTAATTCAATTAGTAAATTATCAACCTCGATTTTGAGATCCATCGATCCATTTTGCTTGATCTGCTCTTCCAACTGCTGCAGTCGTTTTTCATACTTTCTATTTATCGATATCTCCTTTCTCAGTTTCTGCTCCAACTCAGCAACCATGAATTGTCCCCCGTTTTCATTATTTGCGGATGAGGAATTCGAAGACTGAAGCTGCTTTAATTTCTGTTTAAGATCAGTGTTTTCTTTCTAAAATTTAGAAAATTATCAACATACAATTCAAAATAAACATACTAATACTGTAGTTCGAGCTAAGATTAAAGCATTTTCTTTACTTTGGAACTCTTTCGTTAATTCTGCGACTTGTTGCCTCAGTTTTTCAATATCACTAGCGGGCTGAAAATTCGAAAAAGTTAATGACAAATTTCATTAAATACCTTGTCATTTTCGCCGACAAAACCTGCTATAATATTCGATAGATTTTCCTTTTCCGCTTTTAAAGCTTTGCAACTTTCTACTGCTACTAAAAAAAGCAAATAAATAAATAATCAAATTGTATTGCAATACTTCGCAAATTTTTTTCATAAAGCGCTAGCTTTTGTCGCTCTGAATTGAGCTCGGCGGTCAATTTTTCAACTGCACTCATGCACTATGCTGCAAATAATGAAAATTAGAAACAATTTAAAACGAAGTGGCACGAGTGGTCGAAAAGGTATGTGGAAAAAGACACGATGGCAAACAATGACAAGAACGCAATCCAGTTTTTTTGTCGCCGCATGCGATTATGTGTTGAGTTTACGCTAACACAAGGGCACGCGTATGCGCGAAATGTCGTTGCGCTCATAAATCCATAAACGTGTGTAACGTTACCAATATTTTTGATTATCTTGTTTATCTGTGTATTTCATTGGTTGCAAATTTATTCATTAATAAGAGAAAAATTTATAACATTAATTAGGAAAAAATCGTGTATTTTTTAATAAAATTTCATGGAGTTATTAAAACAAATAATGTTATTTCAAAGATTCATTATGAACTTTGAGTTTATTTTTTAACTAACTACAAAAAAATAGTTTTTTGACTCATATTTATAACTTCCATTCAACATTACATATTTTATTATTCTATTTTAAGACTCCCAAAAAAACGTTTATATATTTCATGCAAGACGGGCAAAAAAAAACGTAGATTCAAAACGAAATTCAAATTTGAATAAATTGAATTTTGATGGAAATTTCGATGACTGATTCATCTTCACAAATTGTTTTATACGATTCATACTCTTAGAAAAAATTCATTGCGGGTTCCATCTTCGTCGATTTATTGGTTCACATTTTCATCAAGTATTGCAAGTTCTACACATTCGTCAATAGAAACGGTGGTTAACATACAGACACAGTTGAAACTTGTTGGTGTGTCTACTTTTTTTGTTCTGATACATTGTTGGTAATCCTCAGCAGCCACTCCCAAACGATAAATCTTTGAAAATCGAAAAGAAATTATGTCGACAAAACCTTGGACAACGTCCTTCATGTGTCAACACCATTTGATCTACAATGTTTGATCAAAGTCATCCCGATTGAGTTCCAAAATTAAATAAAATTTTTCATTCTATTGTTTCGTCATTACCGGAGTTAGAAAGATAAGGTCCGGTTTTTTTAACAGTTTAACACATGACACATAATTAAAAAAGAAATTAAGTCGAGAATTTGATATTTTGATCCATTGCAAAATGATCATTCGAATCTCTGAAAAATTTCCTATGGTTGACTAGCCCTATTTTAAAAATGAAAAGTTATTAAAATTGGTTACGGAAAGAAGTGTTTTGTTCGAAATTGTTTCCAGTGACTGCATGCACGCAAACGAATTGCATTTTTTTGCATTCTGATTTTCATCTAACGGAAAAATTGTAATAAATGGGAATGCGCGTCTAGTTTTATTTGCGCCTCAATAATCGGCAACTATCATGCCGCAATCCACTTTTTTTAGTCTGTTTTGTACACAGTTTGTTGCACCGTAATAAAGTTTGTTGCTTTATTTTAAAGTTATTTGTTCCTCTTACAGTCTTTTGTAAAAAAGTAACGACTTCAACAAAAAAACTGATTCTGGTTGTGTTCGTCCAACGAAGGAATTTCTAAACATAGTCGGGGTGTGTTCTAGACTTAATGATCTATTCTTGTACATTTTCTCTTCTATTTTTTTGTTTATATGAACGCCTGCTTATGAGTTGATTTTTTTTTATTTTGATTTTCTTGAATGGATAAGATTTTTCTTCAAGGGATGGCAACGAAGACAATCCATTGTGTGAAATATTATTTTTTATGACAGTAGAATCAACACAACGCGTCCAAAATATACATATGTACGTCACGATGATGTTTCGATTTTTGTTTAAAAAACCATATTACGATTTTCGATGTTAGACAAATATGGCGCCTATTGTGTGGAGATTCAACGTTTAGAATATAAAATTTCATTTTCACTAAATTAAGTTGACTCATTACTGAAAGTAGTCCAATTTATTTTTGATTGAATTGGGTGTGTTGATTTTACCGGGCGATTAGTCATCGCAACAGAAAAAAACCCCCACGCAAGCGGCAGAACATGTATTAAAGAACTAGGCCGATCGTATTACCGTGTTCATTCCATTCATCGAGTTTTCTTTTTGATCATCCACACGTTCTCATCCATTATTGTTTTTCATTCGAGATGACTTATCTTAGTACTGATGGGATGTTCACAAATGTGTTTGCAAACGTGCAAATTGATGTACGCGTTCGTATGAACACCCAGATTACGCCGAATTTAGCCTACTCTCTCGTTTGCATTTACCAAAGCACAGTTGATGAATATTGTTTTTTATATCATAAAGAAATTAGTGCACTGGACAATTCCAACACGATACTTGTTTGATAACGAATCACGCGAATTGTTTACACCTTGCTCGCAAATTTTGAAACGGCACAGGAAGGAAGAAATTAAATGGCAGAGAATAAATTCGAAGCTATACATCCAAAGCAAATGTTTGTGAGAACCGGTTCCGCTCGTGTTATACGTTGTGATTTGCATAAATTGCACGCTTATACTGCATGCAAATAAGTTTGAAGCTATAATGACCCGACCGTCGGACAAGTTCAATGTAGTGCTAGTTGAAATTGCTATCACTAAAGAGTATGCAAAATCTATTGAACTCTCGCTATCAGGCATATACGTAAAGTTGCAAGATATACCATAATCATATGCGGTGCTAAATAATGAAGTCGATTGTGACCTGTGATACCAAAAAGACTAAAGAAATATTAAGCCTTTTATCATCTAAGGATTATTAGTCCACTTTCTTGAAGAAAAGTGTTAAACCATGCGGATGCGATTATGAGCGCTACACGAAAAATGACATCCCAAAAAAGTATCGGTGGGTGTGTGGAATGGTTTCTTTTTTAATTGTATTTGTTCATCTGTTTAATTACCCAATTCTGGTTTTCGGTTCTCTCCACAACGTAGCTTTGTTTGAGTAATAGTGCAAGTTTTCGAAATCACATATAACCAATTTTTTTTTGTTTCTTCATCGACTGGCGGTGAAAACAGAAAAGAAGTGGGCGAGTTGAACAAAAACCGCTATGAATCTTGAGAAATAGAGTGACTAATCAGTCAGACGACGCTGATTTCCGCGCGAGATGATCTGAACGGTAAGCAGAATGCGCGCCGCGCCTCCTGTCCTCCCACACGTTGTCCCAACTCAAATTCGTTTTTTTTCTCGTTCTGTTCGCATTCGCCAGGTCGCGTCGAATCGTTCGTCTATCCCATTCATTGTTCGCGAGCTGTTTCTGCAAACGCGATTTCCGGTTCAATCGAATTTTAATATTGCGTCAGTATATATTAAAGCGAATTGTATAGCGCAAACGAAAATGTTCCTATCGGGGACGTTAAGACACAATCTTTTTTCTAGTAAACCGTTAGCTTCGACTTGCTGATAAGGTGAGCTAGTACGATTCCTTATCAGTGCAGATAAAAAGTGTGGGCCGATGGGCATTCGGTCAGTCGCTAGATCGGCTGGTTGCCACGACGATACCGCCTTCTCCGTCTGCCTTCGATTTCATTATATAATTTTTTCTGCCGTCGCATGGTCTCACTGTGACTAACCAGGCAATGTCAACGCGAAAACTATGCATAATGCGGACGGAATCTGTACATGTATAGAAAGGTGTACAATTCGAATTGAACCCCACTGTCTCTCCTCTTTTTCTTTCTTTCTTGTTGTTTTTCTGTTATGTAAATGTTTTGTGTCAGATTATAGGTATATTTATACAATTTTTTTGACAAAACGTTTGGTCATCGTTATTTTCTCAACTAGATCAGTATCATTCACTATCACAATTGATTACCACTTTCGTACTACTTGCCAGTTTTTTGCACTCTCCCAAAATATTATTTTGTTGAATTCAGTAACATCGTCATGTCGAATCAAGATAAGAGAGAAGAGCCAATCGTCAGAATGCGCGAGAAGAACGTCAACAGCCAGGCTCATTCGGCCTTGGCTCGAGCCAATGAGGTTCTTAACGAAGGAGACATCACCGAGGAGACTGAAGGTAACTTGACATAAGTTCAATCATTGCGATTAACAATCATATTGCAGAAATACGCAAATTGGACTCTCAATTAGACCATTTGAATGATTACATGTCAAAGATGGAGGAGAGAATTAAGGTTTCCTAATTGTGATCACATATTTAATCCTAATAGTGTTTTAGGCTCATAGCGACAGAATGATGGAGACTTTGAGGCAACAAAAGGAAGAGCGTGAGAAAAGAAGAAGAAGCTTCCACGAGGTAGCCGATTTTTTTTCTAATTCAAACTCATAATGTGTTGCTTCAGCGCATGTCCCAGAATCAATCGGAAGATGAAGAGTTCAAGAAGCAAATTACCAACATCTTGAAAAGAGTCGAATCTGTCAAGAAACCAGCTACTGCCACCATTGCTGAATAAATGTTCTAGCCAAACAAGGAAAGTCCGATGATTATTGATTGTGTTTATCCATATTCTATTTTCGCTTCTTCACTTTTTCATTATTTCAATGAGAATATAATTATTTTTGCAATGTTTCACCCGCGAATTTCAAACTTGAATCACTAAATCGATGTCAAGCTTGCCTTGCTTTTCATTGTCACTTGATTTCGAAAAGTGTTTGTAAAAATGATATAAATTTCTATTATTTGTATGCAATAAAATTATACTGATACGATGTTTCGCAATTGTGAAATGGGCCATTGATTTTAAAGTTTAGTGATAAGCTTATCAGTGAATCTCTTGTTCTTCCTTATAATCATAGCATCGTACTATTGACGCACTAAAGAAGCGGAAGAACTTCATATGACTAATTTTATATGGTATGAAATATTGGTTATGGACAATTTCGTAAACTTTCGTGGGGTCACAGCAGTTAAGAAAAGTGCGGATGTCGATAGTGAACTTGTAGTTAGTGATTAGTACCATATTTGTATAGTGTCAATAATTTTATTGCTATCAAATTTTTATTGCAATCGGAAATTGAGACCAAAAACGAATTGATGATCGATCGCACGAGTACTTGTATTCCGAAACTTTGAAAAAAAAATCAAAGTTTTAATTTCACGAATGTCGTATATGTACTTCTTGAACACATGTATGTACGTTAGTTGAAGATAATCCGAATTTCGATATCATGAATAATGTGTTTTTCACTTATACTAACCAAAAAATTTGAGTTTTGTAGTTTTGAAATTCAATAGTTTTTATTTAAGAAAAATTTCAAACAAAAATTTTGAAAAAATGATTCGAGGATTTTAATATTATCAATACCTCTTATTGCATTAATAGAGCTCCGATCAGAAACCAAACTTAATTTTTCTGAACAAGTTTCAGTAATCCTTCTTAAAATCAACATTCACATTTGTATTGAAGTTATATTTTATTTCAGACAATTAAAAACTCAGAAGACATGTGCCGACGACTAGAATAAAATTGAATATTAATGTTGATATAAAAATTCTTTGAATATGATTATAGCAAATAAAAAATGACCTCGTAAGTGTTCCGATGTGTTGTTTTAAAATGAGGACAAAACATAACTAATCGAATTATAAGTGAAAATATTTAAGCTTCAGGCGTCGAGTGTTTTCAAACACCGTTGACCAATAGATTATTCATGAGGCTAACTTTAAAAGGCGAAGTAGCGAACTTTTGGAAAACAACATGTTTCTTGAAATCTGGCTTGTCATTTGTCCACTTGAACCAAAAACTCGAAGAGAACCAATTTTCAAATTTCTTGCTGTATTGTATCCATTAATCCATTTATACTTTATCACGAATAAGTGTTGTCTCTTTCGTAAATTGACAAAAAATAAGATTTTATGGCTTTATTTTCGTAATTGCATTGTTTGCTTTCAAATCCAATGTTTCCAATTTCCAGTTTAATTGGGTTTCAACCTACATAACTCCTGTTCATCGAATAAATATTCATACTTCCTGTATTTCGTCACTCGTTTGATTTATCAAAACTTGAAGAATACTGTTAATATAATCCCTACATTCGCAGCAACGGAATTTCACTAGAATAATGAAGTACACACGTTTCTCCCATTTTTCCGTCTTCACGTCATCTGAATTCTTGAATAAAAACAATGCACATATATAGCTCCACACATCCATGAATTTTCGAGACCGTTGTTTGACATATTCGCCCATCTGTCTTTTTCGTGGCTGTGTAATTAAAGTGAGCATGAAGGCGAACGCAGAAAATTCTCAGCTCTTAAAACAGGTACATTTAAAAATATCAACAGCTGATCTCCGAGAACAAAAACTTCTATCCTAGTAGGAAAAGACATCTGGGAAAATAGGTCATAAAATTGTTGGTCGAAAAATTGAGCTTAAATTGTGAGCCACAATATAATACTGATCAAATTGCCTTTTAATTCATATGTGCAAAATGAAGATCTATAATTAGTTTTGACCAATATATGCATTTCGTTGGACTTTTTCGGTCTGATAAACATTCCCTCACTAATATAGAGTTTATATAAATATTTATTATATTATTATTAAGCCTAACAAGGGAATTAACTGTGTGGGCGGATGAAAACAAAAATTGTTTTGTCAAAATTTTATCAATTATAGTCAACGACTGAACAAAACAAAAAAGCAAAAATGATTAAATCATTTGAAAAAAAACGAAAAAAAAAGAATACAAATATTTATAGTCGAATAACTGAATACAGCCTTAAATCTCATAAGACACATCCAAAAATGAATCACAATTTTTGAAAATCTCACTTCATTGAATGAAGCGCGCTTCAAAATTTGCTTGAGAAGTACAAAATAGCTCATAAACAGAGCGAAATATAACCAAGACGACCAAACAAAAATATACAATGTTAAATGCAATTTTTCTATTCTTATCTAGCTTGAATAAAATTGAATTCAAGTCGTCCTATGTAATCAAACGTATTGAGGAAAGAAGTGATTTGTAGCGTTTCCGATTCGGGCGAATATATGTATATGGAACAAAAGCTTTGAACATTGAGTCGAGGTTTAGTTACCGGTGTACACAATTTTGTATAACATTAGAAAGTTGGTTGGCAAAATGTAAAAAGCTAAAATCGTCGTAAAAAATCTGTCACATCTTTTTTACGCTTTTCATTTATCACGGTTTCTAAAGGCTCGCCGTTATACATAATCTGAAATGTAGAAAAAATTAAAAAGGATCAAAATAGTGGAAATTGAATACCTTCTTCTGTGAGTTGCACTGTTGTCCCACACAACAGCAGAATCCGACTTTAGCATCACTGCTGAATGTACATCTTTTGGATGTCTCGCAAAAATGTGCAATATCCTATGAAAAAAAAACAACGTATTGAAAATTAGCGGAAATTTGAGAATACTAACCTCTTGATAATTATAGCATCCCTGCAAAAGTTGTTTTGTCTCAAAATCATACATTGCAAAACAACCCGGTCGATCTTTGTCGCCTGAAGCTGAGCAACGCACATTTCGAGTTTTCGGCGAGGTGGTGGCATTAAATTCAACGCACTTCATGAATGGCTTTCCGTGTCGGTCCAATCCGTATAGCTCACTGTTGTAGGCCCAATTTGGTTTTGCTTTCGGTTTCTCTGTCCGTCTAAAAGTTCGGACACTAGCAATATGTTTGGAATCGAAATTGTTCAACTCACTCGAAGCTCTCCATTAAATTCAAAAAGTCTTCGTACGCGTCTTGATGCTTATATTTAATAACAGTCGAGCGGCCAATAACACTGGAAACGAGTGCAAAAAGGAATAGGAGTTGAATCATAATTTTGAAACTGAAACTTTGAAAATGAGCAACAATAGGGCAAGGTTAACAAACAAATTATGCGCATATGCTACTTATGTCTAGACTCATTGAATCCGTCAATTTCCTCCTACACTTGTTTACACAAATTTCTGATCAGCTGTTGTGATCTCAATTACTGAATATCTAACTCTCCGAATGATTAACTAAACTGAAGATAAGCGGATTAAGCGGAATTCAAATCTTAAAGTCTGTTTAACTCAAAATGGCAAACTAAGACAACATCGTAAGCTCATCATAAGAGGGTCTGGAATATGAATAAGCGATGTAATAGGCAAAACGTTTTATGCGAACTTATTTTTTCCACCCACTACTTTGAATAAGAAATAAGGGACAGTCTGAGAATAAGGGAGTGGAAATGAGAAAAACAGCTGAAAAAAAAAGAAGATGATTAATTGAATATAAAAAAATGAGCCGATGGTAAGCAATAGCTAAATAATTTGGTGGAACGGGACAAAAGAGAGGCGAAAATAAGACTATTTTTCGATATCATTTGATCCGAAGAAATTCCAACAATGGATATGTCTACGACCTGTCATAGTGACGCTTACGTCAATAGCATAAATCGCTCTAAAATGAAAATGAATTCGCATTTTTTGTTGTTTTTTTGGTCCTAGCGTGGTCAAGGGTTCCGATGCCCTACCGCCAACGCAAAACTAAACAGATTGGACAATGCGGTTAATTCATTAATAATTTTCCATTGTTTTATTTGTTATCGTCGTTATCGAATTCATCAAGAGGAAGAAACTGTATTATCGGAATTGAAAGAATGATAAAAATGCGTAATTTTTCACAACGTCGAAAAAATATTTCGAATAAAAACTGAAAGGTGGTCTCGTATCAAAATTTTGCCAAGAGCCAACAGTCAGGGGGTACGTAAATTTGAAGAATTGAAATGTTGCTCCGCCTTTCGCAGCTTTTTTCCACGCTCATTCATCCGATTCTCACTCGAAACCCGATGTCGAACTCACGCCCCGTCTGAGCCACGCCCATTTTTCAATTATGCTTCGTGTCTGTGCGCGATCAAGGCACGAAAAAGAGTTTGAAAAGAGACGAATAAGGATTTCTCGAAATGACGTTGCGAGATTCTTGAGACTTCTGAAGAAAATTTTGTTGTACTGTAATTGGACACCGTCTACGTTTCAAATTCGATGGCTTCCATAGTTGCTCGGGGTGGTTTTTCTGGCAAAAGAACAAATCAATTATAAAGCTAGACAGTTGTGTTTTCCATTTATCCATTATTAAGTAATTTCATTCTATTTACGATGGTCCCTATTGGAAAAAAATGACGTCTTTCTGGAAATAGATTTTGACCTTTTATTTTCAATTCACAAATTGCTTGAAAATAAAATTGGCGAATTGGCAAATGGGCAAACTTTCACGTTGGAATCCATTAGGATCTGATGATATCGCAACAATGACGTTACTTTTTTTTCGGGGGCACTAACTTTTGCAGTGTGTAATTCATTATTCCATGAAACGGCAACATCACGTCTTCAAATTTCTATTTTCGTACACGGCGCCGAAATTACCGAATTTTCATAATTCGTCTGCTTCGCTTGAATATGTGTCACTTTAGCAGGTTGCTTAGAAAGGGCATCAAATGAAGAGACAGCAAAATTTTTTTGCCAGACTCTGCTTCGAAGACATTCAAAAAAAATGGGCTCTCCTTATTCGATTATATATTGCCTTTGGCTTGAATTGCTGTCTAGACTGGAAGTTGAAAAAATGCCGAACGGCGGAGATTTGTTTTGATTTGCAGGTGCCCCATGGAGCGACAATTTTTTTGAGCAAATTCCGGTATTCCAGCAAAATGTCGCGCTTGTCAAAAAAGCTCTAGCTCAATGTAACTCGAGATGCATATATACGGGCCTCAAAACAAAACGGAATTTTCAATGCCCGAGAAAAGATCCCACGCATCTACACTTTGGCGAGTATTAGTGTTAATCGAAAAATCAGACGTTGGTCTGTGACTACGAAAAAAGAAATTGGCGGCCGCGATAATAATTCTGGGAATGATGAATTGAAATCTTCTCGAGACTGTTCAAAAATTAATTAATTTCCTCTAACTTCTTTTCTTATATGATCTAATTATCGAAACTTCCTTTATTTTATATAATTTGACAAATTTGAATAAATTATTTTTAAAATTTTTAATTAACCTAAAAATTTTATTTAGTAGAAAAATGGATTGAATATTTATATATTGGACTACATAGATCAATGGATATATTGCAACATTTTATTCTCCGAATGTAAAAAAAAAATCCTGCACAATGTGACGTAATAATTTTTTCAATTAGTTTCCTTTTTACGTAGTTATTTCTCTTATTAAACTTGGAATCTGGACTTTGTGGCTATTAGATAAATTAGATAGGAAATTGACACCGGATGCAAATTATAAACAGATATCAGCAAACTGCGTATTTTATTTTTTCTTGAGCTTAAAAACGGGAACGAGAATTGTTTTCGATTCGGCTTTAGAAATAAACATATGAGCTCAACTTGTACTCTGCAGGTGGGGTATCTAATAATTATTATGTATTTATAGTGCGAATCTATTGTACAATCCTGGAAAATTAAAGTGGGCGGGGCATGGCAAATTGCCAGTAATTTGTTAGGTAGATTTTAAGGTTTGATTTAAAACAGCAAAACTGGTTGAATGAGTAGAAAGTCAGAAAAGGATGAAATGAGAAAAATTTGCTCCACACTTCAGCGATATGACCGCCGCCTTGTGCGCATTACATTGATTCGGCATTTTCCACAATATATATCCATTAGTGCTTTATCACAACCCGAAATTTGTACCCAGTGACGTAATAGTTATTGCAATTGTAGTAATTGCAATCAACACCTTTTTTGCAACTCCACTCATGTACGCGGGATATTGAGGTAAGAGGATGTGATGCATAGAAACGACACTCTTTCGGGAGTTTCCGTTGCCAATGAGGAAGCGACGACGGAGGAAAAGTAGGCAATTTTGCGTCACATCAAACGACGTGGGAACAGACTTTGTGAGAATCGAACGTCATTCTGGAGCCCACAAAGCAGTAGACATTAAGATAAATAAACTGTCACGTGGGTTTAGAAACTCTGCAAAGGGATGATGATGATTTTCAGCAACATTTAACAAAATGTGATTTTTAATTTGAGAGCACACATTGAATATCCTGCAATTTGACCGCCGATTCCCAATTGCTACCAATTTTCATATTAACCAGACATGCCCGCGGAAATTGAAGATCTGTTTTTCATGAGACATAGACATGTCTGCTCCGCAATAAATTAAATCAGACCATTGTACCCCAATTGACTCAATGTTTCATGAACTCAGTAAGCTTTGATTAAATTTAATTGGTTGAAATGTTAATTGATTGAAATAAGAAATAAGTTATGAGCATATCAAGACGTTTCTAAATTTTGAATCACAATGCAGGTATATTTAGAGAGGAAGATCTTAAAATAATATCATTCCGTTTCAGTACCTTCAGACGAAATGAAGATTAATTATTTTAATCGCTTATTAAAAATCACTAAGCTCTAAAAATATTAAAAAAAAAAAAAGAATAACGCACATCACATATAAGGAAAGGAAATCATATATGACATGACATCAAGTTATGTGTTTAATTCTAAATGGTTAATGTAATAAAGTGTTATGGGCTACAAATCCAAAACAAACTAATTGATTTAATGGGATAAATTGAAAATATTGGATATGGGCTCTCATATTGACTAAAACGTCATTTTAAAATAAAAGTCATAATGATTTTCATTGATCTTTTTCGCATAAATTTGATTTTTTTTAATATCAAAAATCGTTTTGATTGATTTTTTGTTTTAATTTTTTTTTCATAGGCTTGACGGCAAAAATTTCCAACAAATATGAAAACAAATCGTCTTAAAGTGGCAAGGAAATTTAACCGTGATTCAAATTAGGCCGATTATCCCATTTATATATATATATTTATACACACGATTGAAAATACTTAACTATGTATTATCGCTTAAAAATGACGCTTGAAATTCATTAAGAAGAGATGTAATCGAGATCAAGGAGTTAGCTGCAAATATAGTCAATACTATTATGTCCTGTCAGCAACAAGTACGATGAAAAAAACTTCAACTGATACGTATTATCATGAATTTTTATTGTGCAATATTATGTTTCGAAAATGTCTCCGAAATATTGTCAACTCAAAATGAATAAGCCACCGAGAACAAAAAATTCTGAATAAATGATGGTATGCTATGCCCCTTTTGACTGTTTTAAACACATTTTCATAAATTAATAAATAGCTTTATTTATAGGTTATGAATTAGGCTTGTACTCCTTCGAGTTCTGGTGGAATAGCATTCTTTGGATGCTTGCTCTCAAAATGTTGTCTGTAGGTTTTTGGATCTGGCATCATTGACTGAAATTGAAAATTGTGATTCAATGTGTTGGATTATTTTTACGCCATAAAACCTAAGAAGGTCTTCATATTAGTAATTCAGAATGTGTCTAGTCGTATAAAAAAAACATCAACGACCAAAGAAATTGAGGAAAAAAAGAAACGCATAAATTTGTCTGGTTTTTTTTCAGTTTCAACAATTTGTAAAAATGGATTTAAGGTAGACGCACCATGCACACGGAACACTTATGATTGAGATTCTTCATGGCAGCTGCTTTCTGATCGACTCCCTGACAGAAATTAAAAAACTAAATAAATGTTTACAATATTCATAATACCACAGATTTCTTGGCTTTTGCCTGCTTCTCAGCATTTCTTTGCTGCGACAATGCCTTCTGATGTCCACGAGCCATACCTATAACAATTAATATCAAAGTTATGCAACAATCTGCTTTGTATAAAGGGAAGCATGTAAACGTTCTCAGATCAATAAATACGATAAACGAAGACTAACGGAGACTGTCAAACCCGTTTTCGCGGTCGCGCGTTTATTTTTGTTGGCGCAAGCGTCTCGATGTTATGGAAAAAGCGATCGTACTGGATGGACATATTATCTTTGCAAATTATTTTCTCATAATGATCAACAAATAGCTTAGTCTAACTGTTAAATCAGAAAGAAATTTAAAGGAATTTAAACGGAGAAAGAAATGGGTGATTCTAATGGGTTACTTTTCTGTGATTTCACACCTTATGTTTAGCACGCTATAATTTTAACTAGTAAAAATTTGTTGAGAGTAAAAATAACCTATTCGGGGGGGGGTGAAAATCAATGTAGAGGTTAATCTGCCTTATAACCGAGATATCTTATCAAATATAATCAATGCTACGGTCTTCTGGTATCAAAAAATATCAGATTTAAATTGCTATTCTAAAAGGAAATATTTTGAAATTGATGATGCAAGCAAAAGTGGTTGCCTTTTTCGAATCAGAACCATTGCTCTTCACATTAATGCAGAATTGTTTGCTAATGATTAATCGGTGTAAAAATTCAAACAAATATAAATAAAAACGATATATAATTTCAGAACTTTTCCTATTTTATTCTACTCCTTTCCTAATTTCTTGAATTTATATTTTAAAGAATTTAGTTTAAAAATTATTTTTATGAATACTCTCCGCTATGATCATTTCTATTGAAGTATTTTTATAGGTTTTTTATGGTTATTTGAAAACGTGGCACGAAGATATTTTCAATTTTTCTTCCTTTTTCATATTATTCACAACAATTTTTTTAAAATAGTGTATCACAGTTCATCAATTTTTACACTGAAATATATGTACATATATTAACTATTAAAAAGTCTCTTTTTATGTGTTTTCTCAGAGCGTCATTTATTATACTTCCGCCGATGATTAAATTGTTGAAAGTTCACCGATTGGATTATTAATGATTACAAAACGAAACTTTAATCTCTCGCGAGTCAGACATGTTTTTCATTTTGACTCGGTCTTGTTCCCAGAACTATTATAAATGTTTTTACGCAGTCAAAAGTCGGGGAACTGTGAGAAAATGACGAATTTCAAGGTGAAGTGCGCAAGTAACATGCATCCGCTAACAATCGAGTGATCAAGATCAAACTAAATTCAATATTGTCAGACATGTGGGATTAATCGAGATTCACAAAAAAAACAGCTGAAATACTTTCAAAATCACGTCTTTAATTCCATTTTTTTAATGTGACAGATTGGTTTAAAAAATGATGCTTCTGTATTTCGTACTAATGAATTTAAATTTTAAGAAAATATCATATTTGAAAATAAATACTAATAAATGTTTTCTCAGAAAAAAAGGGGGTATAAAGCTCTAATATAAACAGATTTGAACTAACCTATTTGATTATCAAATTAATAACAATAAGTCGTGGAGCATAATTTGAAAACCTAAAAATAGGCGGTTTTAATTTATTGTGCGGCTTGAAACATTTACTTAAGAATTGTTATAATTTTCATAAGCGTCTCTGAACTTCGAAAACATTTCTTCAAATCGTAATTGAAGTGTTATTTATGGTTCTTTTTAATGAAAATGTAAAATAAATTGGCTACAATTGTAACATTGACATATTTTGAACGCAAACCAATATTTTCGAAATTATTGTTTGGAAATTGTGTTTTCTTAAAACGATCGATCTTTTTTAAGCATGCATTCAGATCTCGGCGAGAGTTCCAACGGCCGACGAATCGCGCTCAGATCTACTTATTAAAATGAAAGTGCTAATATTGTTCAGATAATCTCAAATTGATACTCTTCCGTTTGCAAGTGAAATATTTTATTGGCGTTTTATCGAAAAAATCGAAATAATTTTTCCACAACTTTAAAAAATTTTGAAGATTTTTGTTTAACAGAAAAATTCCAGGAATGTCTCCGGAAAATTAGCATTTCTTTTTGAATTAGTCCAAAATAAAATAATCTACTCATTGGTTTTAAATGCACTTCAAAAAATCAAAAAAGTTATGCGGCTTAGAACTGAAGAGATTTGTTAAGCATGCATATAAAATAAAGTTTATGGATGTTTTAAATACGAATTAATATTTCTAAATAGTTAGCATATTATTAGTAAACACGCTTGTTAAAAATTCTTTTAAAAAAAAGTTCAAACTACAGAACTAATAATTAAGGGAAACTGACAGTTTTTTCTAATCGGTGGCAGGCATTTTTGTTCAAAAAAAAAAACACAGAAAAGCAAAATAAATCTGACCAAAAACAATGGACGAAATAAAAAAAAAGAGTTTGAATCTATTTTCTCTCTGCTCTGCATTATTTTTTTAATGTTCAATTCATGCTGTTGACATTACTTCACGTAACAACTGAATAAATAAGTAAATGAGTTACACGAGAAAAATTCAAAAAAAAATTCCACCACGCAATGATTTGTTCTATTTCTGAGTTCCAAACGTCTTCCACTGATAAAGCACACATCAATAAAGTACACAATACCGAGAGTTTACCTCTAGAGACAATGTAAATATACTAAACAGTGACTCAAGTTTTATATGTTTCCATTCCAAACGGTTATTCCCTCTTATCCTTGTTTTATGTATATATATATATATTTCGCCGACAAATGACCTCAAGATAATATCCTCACACCAACCGATCGCACTACGAATGTATAGAATTCCATCACTCATAGATTTACTCATCGGGCGTCACACCACCACCCCGCGTGTCCGCCATTTTGCGCTTTGCTGCTACTTAGATCTGGCCGAGATTTATGGCATAACATCCCGCGCTTTTTCTCCACATTTCATTTTTTTATGAGTACCAGTAACAACCTTTCATTTTCTTGGTTTTGTTTCACACTAGCACGAATTAAATATGAGCTCGACGTTGCATATTGAATGATTCAGCCGAAAAAAAGAGTAGGGGGCAACTGTATCCCTTTACCTTTTTTTGAAAGACCCTCACATGTGGAAACCTTCAAATCAATTTGCCTCGGTTTACCATTGAAATTGAGTGATTCACTCTGACAGGCAACCCACTCAAAAAGAATATTTGTGAGTTTACCATGAAATGTAATATTGCCAATATTTTTTTAAACATTCTCTTTTGTTTGCAACTCTCTCTTCCACCCCCCCCCCCGTCTTCCTTATCAGTGTCTGCATTTCAACCTTGTAGAGAAATTTTCCCACAAACAAAAAATTGCGCCCCAGAGTCGCAGCTTGTTTTTTTTTTCACTTTATGCCACCTCATTTCATTTTCTTACGACGTTTTCTAAGCTCTCGTTTTCTGCAGCTCGCAACCGAGAACACCGCTTGGGTTTTTTGTGTAAAACGTTTTGAATCTACACATTTTTTTTCAAAAAGATTTATATCTGTCATTAGTACATTTTGATTGACCCACCGTTTGGAAAATTGAAGTTCCGGGCATGCTAGGTTGACTAAGAGCAATGAAATGAATTGCGTACTCTTAGTGATAAACAATGAATCATCAGCACTCTTTGATGAAACCTTCGCTTGGTGATGATGGTTGTATCATATTTTACATTTTTTTTTTGAAAATATTCTATCCTAGTAATTTCCTTTTTGGAATTAATCGAAAGTTTCATGTTTTCTGTTTTGACTCATTCATTCATACTTTCGATTGTCGAGATTCCATCGAAACAAGCTTCCAGCAATGTAAACAAGACAATGCAAATCAAGCGGTACGCTTTTTTGCTTCAAAATGCACAGTTGAATCAAAAACATCTGGCATTTCTTTGGGCTAATGAAAAGCCAATTTGACCATTTGTTACTGGTAATTTTATGAGAATGAAATGAAATCACAATCTACCATTGGCTAGTGTTTAATCGAATCTCAATTCTGAGGCTTATTTGAAGAAAGAGGCCATCATTAATTTTTGTGAATCCTAACTTGCTTATATTTAGAAAGATCTGGAACATATATGAAATCACATATTATTTAGTATCAAACGCTTTCATCTCCCAATCTTACATGCCAAATATTTCGTAGAGCATGTCATCCCCCCTCAACATCTTCCAACTCCACCAATTCAATTTTCAACCAAACCAAAACCAAACTGAGCGCGATTCGTCGGCCGTTTGAACTCGCGCCGTTTTTTATGCCTCTGCCTTTTCCTCCTCGCTCTCCCAAATATATGTTTGGGGGGCGAACAACCAAACACAGCCTCAAATGTATTGAATATAGTGGCTGTAGTTGTGGAGGGCCGGGCAACAAAAAAACGCGAGCGACGAGAGTGTCGTGCATTAAAGAGACGCAGACGGCGCGCAAAGACCGCGCGAGTGAGCGAGCGCAATGCATTCATCGTCGACGCTCGTGGTGAATGGCCGACGATGCAGGCAGCCAAGGCCCTAGTCGAATTGAGCGCGGGCATCCGTCCGTCCGATTCGTAGAAGGCCCCCTCTCATCGCCGCTGCGCTTTCCTCTCCATCCGTCGCCCCATCTCACTGCTCTCTTTCTAGTCGTTTGCCTTCTCACAACTGCGGGTGTTGGTGTTTACTGGAGGGGGTTAGAGCGATCAATAACAGCCAGCTCTTGTACTTGAACCCTCATAGGAAGACCCATTTTCTTTTCTTGTTTGTGGTCTTCATTTCTTAAACAATGCCTCACATGCCAAAAGCCAAATAAGCCAGAAGCGCCCGCTTCGCACTTTCATGTGTACATCTTCGTTTTTCTGTTTCTCCGTATGAAAGTACGGCTGCCTTTCTTAGCTTCTTAAATTGATTTGTGGAAATTTATATTCAATTTTTTGCTTCAAAACTTTTACTCTACTGTGATTTTATTTCCATATATCAAAAAATGACTGACAAAGATTCTAACCACATCGAATTTGTGGAATCAAATCTGTCCAGCAAATATGAGAACTCTGCGTACTCATCTGATACTCAAATAAGGTGTTCAATACGAACGAGGCAAGTGCGCTCTAAGGAACGCCAATACATCGCTGAGTTTTGAATGACGCATTTCATTCAGGTTTATAACATTTGTTTCGAAAATGAGAAAAAATTAACATCACAATTTTGTTCATAGTTGTTAATTATTGCTATTTTCGAATGCCATCGAAAATGTTTGTTGTATCAGTCGGATAAAGCTTGTTCTACCGTCTGCTCTCTTTTCAAACTCCGTCAAGATCTCTCGCGTTTTTTGTTTCCTATTTCCGCGCCAGCGGCCGACATCTCAACATTTTGGAAGCTTGCTCAAATTAGCTTTCCGTCATTTATTTTTTGCGCTCTTTTCTTTCTATCCCTCGTTTTTCCTATCTCTCAACTCCACATTGTCTTTATTTATGCGGCGCTCGAATATTTTTTGGACACGTTACATTTCCATTTCCATTTTTACAGCGAAACAATATTATGGCTGATTCGAGTGATTCGCATGCGCCACCGGAGCCGGTGCTTGAGGTGCCACCACCGCGAGAGATTCGTATCTTGGAAACTGCTGATGACATTCAAAATCGTCGTCAGGAGGTTCTTGGACATTACTCGCAGTTCAAGGATTTCTCTAAAACCAAGAGAGACCGGCTAGAGGAAGCTCGTCAATTCCAATATTTCAAACGGTAATTTTAATCCAATTCGCAGACGTTTTTTCAAAGTTGATTCTATTTCAGAGATGCCGACGAGCTCGAAGTATGGATTTTGGAAAAGTTGCAAACGGCGCAAGAAGAAAGCTTCAAAGATCCAACAAATCTTCAGGTCCGTTTTATCCTATTGCCAGCAAGTGTCACATATTCCCCAGACACCGATTCCTTATACTTGGCCATGTTTCAAGATTGGCACTCTCTTTTCGCGCTGCGCTCTTTCAATTTCCTAATCTCCACGTTGTGTAAAAAATATTAGACAAACGCTATACATTTATAAACAATCGGCTCTTTCCGGTCCCCTTATGGTCCTCGAAAATGCACAATATTTTTGTTCACGATGAATAGAATGGAGAAGTGGTTGTGTGTGTGTTTGTGCAGCGGAATTCGATTAATTATCTAGATTTTATTAGGGTCCACTCTTCTGCGCTCCAGTTTAATGCGAAACCAGTGACGCTCCGCTTTTGTTCACTGCCTTCCCAAAAAAAAAGAAGAATTGGTGAGAGCGTTGACTCTCGTTGACTGGCTCGTAAAAAACCAAAATCAATATGTAGAATGATTCATGCATGTCTTATCTGTAGAATGCAAATTATGTGAGAGTGACTGTGTTCGACATTGAATGAAATTTTTGAGACAATGAAAAATGTATAGCAAGCGGAAACATTTGACGGATATTTATACGTGATATTCTACACGAAGGCCATGTTTCATCTTCAGCTCACTGGGCTGTAAAAAAATCTTGGATGGTAATCTGATATCGCCGCGTTGAGTAGAAATGCCACACGATAGCATTAGGATTTGGATGAGTTCGACCTTTTTCTTCGCTCTCGATGATCTGGGGATTGATAAGTGCCAAATATGGGTTAGATAATCTGTCACCGTCGATTTCCTTTTCAGTATAGTAATAGGAGATATATAGTTAAGATGGGCATTATTCTCTCGGCGCGTCCGCATAATATGTGTATATCTCATAAGAGGCGGCTGTGTTCACTCAATGTCCGCCCGCCGCCTGGCCTTGACATAGCCCAATCGGAACCGATCTGACAGATCGCAAAAACGCGGTAGCAAACAAATGAATGTTGATAAATATGCAAGTCTAGGGGTCTCTCACATTTACTATTAGTTATTAAATCATGATCGCATAATTTAAATGCTTTAAGCCGATTGAAAATCGGACTGGTTTTCGGGGGAATTTAGAAAAAAATGCGACATATATCAATTAAATCACCCAGTTTGGAACCGAATAAATACATTCAACTATTTTCAGGCTAAGATCCAGAAGCATGAAGCTTTCGAGGCCGAAGTTCAAGCTCATGCGAAGACCATTGCGAATCTCGATAAGACCGGAAATGCCATGATTCAGCATAATCATTTCGCCAGTGATGTCATCAAGGTTACAAATAGCTAAAGAGCTTCACACACAAACAAATTTTTAAATTGCAGAAGCGATTAGAGGAACTTCATGCCCTTTGGGATAAACTCTTCTTCAAGCTTAAGGATAAGGGAATTAAGCTACAACAAGCTTTAAAACTATTGCATTTCATCCGTCAATGCGATGAAGTTTTGTATTGGATTCGAGAGAAAGTATGGAACCAACGATCACCGAAACAACGCCTTATTTAATTATACTTTTCAGGAAACCTATGTCACCGCAGAAGACATGGGAATGGATCTTGAACATGTCGAAATCCTTCAGCGCAAATTCGACGATTTCCTTAAAGAACTCGGAAACCACCAATATCGTATTAATGAAATCAATCAAGCTGCCGATAGATTGGTCGAGGAAGGACACTCGGAGCACGATCAAATTTATAAGAAGCGTGATGACGTCAATGATGCGTGGCACAGATTGAACACCCTTGCTGCTACTCGTAAGGAAGGACTCTTCGGAGCTCATCAAGTTCAACGCTTCAACCGCGATGCTGATGAGACTCTGGCTTGGATAGGAGAGAAGGATGCTGCGTTGTCCAGCGATGATTATGGAAGAGACCTTAACAATGTTCAAGCTCTTCAACGAAAACATGAAGGAACTGAAAGAGATCTTGCTGCGCTTGAAGGCAAAATGCAGCAACTTGAGAAGGAAGCTCTGAAGCTCGCTGAGACTCATCCAGATCGTGCTGATGCTATTCACCAGAAGAATAATGACACCAAAGATGCTTGGAACGCTCTTAAGAACAAAGCTCAACAGCGTAAAGAAGGGCTTGAAAGAAGCTATCAGCTTCATAGATTCCTTGCCGATTACCGTGATCTCACCTCTTGGATTCAAGATATGAAAGCTGTGATTGGAGCTGATGAGCTCGCTAAAGATGTTGCTGGAGCTGAAGCACTCTTGGAGAGCCATCAAGAGCACAAAGGAGAGATTGACGCGCGTGAAGACTCATTCAACCAAACTGCGGCTTCTGGCCAGAAGCTCCTTGAAATGGAGATTGCTGAAAGTCCAGAAGTTCGCGATAAACTCGAGAAGCTTGCTCAAGAAAAAGCCGCACTTCTTGGGCTTTGGGAAGAACGCCGTATTCTCTATGAACAATGCATGGATCTCCAACTATTCTACCGTGATACCGAACAGGCCGAGACATGGATGAACAAACAAGTATAGGATATATATACATTATTTTTCAAAGTTTTTTTTTCTTCAGGAGGCTTTCCTTGCCAACACCGATTTGGGTGATTCTTTGGATTCAGTGGAACACCTCATCAAAAAGCACGAAGATTTCGAGAAATCGTTGGCTGCCCAAGAGGAGAAGATCAATGCTCTTGACGAGTTTGCTACGAAATTGATTCAGGTAATCAAATTGTGTAAATCAAACAAATACGTATTTATTTTTAGGGAAAACACTATGCTGCAGATGATGTTGCCAAGAGACGTCAAGCTCTTCTTGATAGACGTCGCCGTCTTCTTGACAAAGCTCGTCTTCGCGGAAATGCTCTCAGAGAAAGCTATAAGCGTCAGACGTTCGACCGCGATTGCGATGAGATGGCCAGCTGGATCACCGAAAAACTCACTACTGCTCGCGATGATTCATATCTTGACCCAACCAACATTCGTGGAAAACTCCAAAAGCACATCAACTTCGAACAAGAACTCAAGGCTAACGAGAACCGCCTTGATGATATCCGCGCCACCGGTGAACAAATCATTGAGAGCGGACATTTCGCTGCTGATCACGTAAGAATCAAATATTTGGTGTTCAGCTAATATTTTTTTTTCAGATTGGTGATCGTCTTCGTCAAGTCAACAGCTTGTGGAACGAGCTTGTCGATGCTACGAACAAGAAAGGAGCAAAGCTTCGTGAAGCTGGAAACGAGCAGCAATTTAACCGCAACATCGAAGACGTCGAATTGTGGCTAAGCGAGTTGGAAGGACAAATCGCTTCGGAAGATTATGGAAAGGATCTTGTATCAGTACAAAACCTTCAGAAGAAACTCGGCCTTCTCGAAAGCGACTACAATGCTCACAATGATCGTATTGAAGGAATCAAGGGATTGGCTAAGCAATTCGAGCAAGAAGAGCATTTCAACGCTCCAGTGATTGTTCGCAAGCAAGAAGCTTTACATCAACGCTACAGCCAACTCCGCGAGCCACTAGAGAAGCGAAAGAGAAAGCTTGGTGAATCTCTTCAAGGAAACCAACTATTCCGAGATATCGAAGATGAATTGGCGTGGATTCGCGAGAAGGAGCAAGTGGCTGGATCGACCAATAGAGGCCGCGATTTGATCGGAGTCCAAAATCTCATCAAGAAACAACAAGCCCTTATTGCTGAGATTGCAAATCACGAGAACCAAATCGACAGCGTTAGCAAGTCTGCTGAAGACATGATTCAACAGGGTCATTTCTTGGCTCCGGAAATCCGCGACAAGCTCGCGCAACTCCGAGACAACTGGAGAATCCTCAAGACTAAGGCTGAGAAGCGCCGTGGAGAATTGGATGACTCTCTTCAAGCCCATCAATACTTGTCGGATGCCAATGAAGCTGATGCGTGGATGAGCGAGAAGGAGCCAATCGTTGGATCCACTGACTATGGAAAAGACGAGGACTCTGCTGAAGCTTTGCTCAAAAAGCATCGCGCTCTTCTTTCGGATCTTGAAGCATTCAAGGGAATCATTGAAGACCTTCGCAAACAAGCTTCCCAATGCAAGTATCAGGAACAGCCAATGGGTCAGCTTGGACGTGATTGCGTTCTCGCTCTCTACGACTATCAAGAGAAGTCTCCACGTGAGGTCTCGATGAAGAAGGGAGACGTTCTTACACTCATCAACGCTTCAAACAAGGACTGGTGGAAGGTTGAAGTTAACGATCGTCAAGGATTTGTTCCAGCTGCCTACGTGAAAAGAATCGAGCCAGGATCAGCTCAACAACACACCCAGCAACAGGTAATACCGCTTAAGGAGTACACCTGGAAATATAATAATTCTGGTTTAGGTCAACTCGATTGGAGGAAAGCAATCTGAAATTGAAGACAAATATCAGAGATTGATGATGCTTGGCGAGACTCGCAAGAGAAAACTTGAGGAGGCCTGCAAGGGATACCAACTCCTCCGTGAAGCTAACGATCTCGCTGAATGGATTAAGAGCCGCGTAAGTAGCAAACCTAAAAAATTCAAATTTCACATTTATAAAAATGTATTTTTAGACAATGATGGCTGAAGTAAGTTTTAATCATATGAATAATATGAAACTATGTGTTCGTGATTTTATCTCGAGAATGTTGACAATTTGTGTTTCAAAAATGTGAAATGTTTTTTTTTTTCGAAATGTGAATGGAAATGCTTTCGTTGTTAAAAAAAACGACATGTGAACTGTTGGAATACTTGCATACTGTCTGAATACGTGTCGCAAATATACCTGCAAATGATACATTTGTTGGTTTTTAGGAGGCCGTCGCCGCACAACAGGAGATTGGAACCGATCTCGAGCAGGTCGAGGTTCTCCAGAAAAAGTTTGATGATTTCAAGGGCGACCTCAAAGCAAACGAGGTTCGCCTCCAAGAAATGAACCAAATCGCCACTGCTCTCACTTCTGTCGGACAAACTGAAACTGCCGTCCGCATTCGTCAGCAAATCGAGGATCTTAACAACAGGTGGAGAGATCGTTCGTAAACATCAAATATTTATATTGTTCAATTTAGATGGCGCGCACTCGAAGAACAAACTGAAGCGCGCGAACAACAACTTGGATCAGCTCATGAAGTTCAAAGATTCCACCGCGATGTTGATGAGACTCGCGACTGGATCCAAGAGAAGGATGATGCTCTTGATAGTGAGGACTTCGGAAGAGATCTCCGCTCTGTTCAAGCCCTTCAACGCAAGCACGAAGGTGTTGAAAGAGATTTGGCTGCTCTTGGAGACAAGATCAAATCTCTTGATGAGAAAGCCAACCGACTCCGTCAGTCTCATCCAGAAGCTGCTGAACAGATCTATGACTTGCAACGCGAATTGAACGAGCAATGGAACCGCTTGACTTCCAAGGCTAACAACAGAAAGGAAAAACTTCTTGACTCGTATGATTACCAACGCTTCCTTTCCGACTTCCGCGATCTTATGCAATGGATTGGATCGATGAACCAGCTCGTGAGCAGCCAAGAGCTTGCAAATGATGTTACTGGTGCTGAAGCTCTTCTTGAACGTCATCAGGAATACAGGTGCAGATTTGATAACACTTACCTGGAATTTTATATTTAAAAATTTTAGAACCGAAATCGATTCCCGTGCCGCCACATTCCAAGCATTCGACCAATTCGGAAACCAACTTCTTAATAGCCATCACTATGCTGAGAAGGATATTGAAAAACGTTTGCAAGATGTAAGTGTCTTTGTTACTTATTCTGAAGTAAATATATTATTTTCAGGTTAACGATGCTCGCCGTGGTCTTGAAGATGCCTGGGTTGCTCGCAGAAACATTCTCGATCAGTGCTTGGAGCTTCAACTCTTCTACCGTGACTGTGAACAAGCTGACACCTGGATGTCGGCTCGTGAAGCTTTCTTGTCGCAAGAGGACCCAACCGGAGACAACGTTGAGAGTCTCATCAAGAAGCACGAAGACTTCGATAAGGCGATCAACACCCAAGAAGAGAAAATCAAGGGGCTCAAACTCTTTGCTGAATCGCTCATCAACAACCAACACTATGACGCACCAGCCGTTGCTCGCAAGAGAGATCAAATTTTGGATCGCTGGAACAACCTGAAGGATGCTCTGATCCAGAGACGTTCGAAGCTTGGAGAATCCCAAACCCTCCAACAGTTCAGCAGAGATGTCGATGAGATTGAAAACTGGATGGCGGAGAAGTTCCAAATCGCTCAAGAAGAAAACTACCGCGACCCAACAAACATTCAACAAAAGCATCAGAAGCAACAAGCCTTCGAAGCCGAACTTCATGCCAACTCGGACAGAATTGCTGCAATTATTCAAGCCGGAACCAACCTTATCGACAATGCCAAGTGCGGTGGAGGTGAGGCTGCTGTCAAGGCTCGTCTGAAGGCATTGAACGATCAGTGGGATCTTCTTGTCAAGACCACCACCGAAAAGAGTTACCGTCTCAAGGAGGCCAACAAACAAAAAAGCTTCATGGCTGCTGTCAAAGATTTGGAATTCTGGTTGGGAGAAGTTGAAATCCTCCTTCAATCTGATGATTACGGAAAGGATCTTGCCTCTGTTGAGAATCTTTTGAAGAAACATTCGCTGTTGGAAGCTGATATTGCTGCCCATCAGGATCGTGTTGCTGAAATGAACGACCAAGCTGATTCTCTCCTCGACAATGACCAGTTCCAAGGACAGCAAATCGCTGAGCGTAGAAAGATGATCAACGATCGCTATGACAACATCAAGAAGATGTCAGCTGATCGTCGTGACAAGTTGAGCAAAGCTCTTAATGTTCATCAATTCTTCCGTGATATTGATGACGAGGAGTCATGGATTAAGGAGAAAAAGCTCTTGGTGTCTTCTGATGACTATGGACGTGATCTTCCTGGAGTCCAAAACCTTCGCCGCAAGCATCGCCGTATCGATACTGAACTGGCTAGTCACGAGCCACAGGTCTCGCAGGTTAAGCTAAAAGGACAAGAGCTTTTGCGATCAGCCGCTGAAGCTGGAGTTGGTGAGGACCAAATTAAGAAGCGTATGGAGGATCTCGAAAACAGCTGGGGACAAATTCGCGACCTAACTGGAAACCGTCAAAAACGCCTTGACGAATCCGAAGTATTCCAAGAGTTCTTGGGAGACGTAGAAGAGGAAGAGGCATGGATGAATGAGAAACAACAAATTCTCGGATCCGACAACTACGGTGACAACATGGCTGGAGTTCAAGGACTTCTCAAGAAGCACGACACCTTCCAAGTTGACTTGGAGCTTCACAAACAACGTGTCGCTGATCTCGTCAATAAGGGAGACAAACTGATTGCGAATGGAAACCATCACGCTCCACACATCAAGCAACGATGCGATCAACTCCGAAATCGTCTTACTGATATTGAAGCTATGGCAGAACGACGTCTTGCCAAACTTCGCGACAACTCTGCCTATCTTCAATTCATGTGGAAATGCGACGTTGTTGAGAGCTGGATTGCCGAGAAGGAACAACAAGTGCGATCGGAGGACTATGGACGTGATTTGTCGTCGGTCCAAATTCTTCTTACCAAACAAGAGGCTTTCGACGCTGGACTCAATGCATTTGAGCATGAAGGAATCCAAAGGTATTTAAAATAACGCAAAAACCAAATTTCATTTATATTTTTCTTTAGAATCACCGAGCTCAAGGATCAACTCGTTTCCAGCGAACATCAACAATCGCCAGCTATTGAGAAACGTCACTCAAATGTGATTCAAAGATGGCAGCAGCTTCTTGCTCATTCCGAGGCTCGCCGCCAGAAGTTGTTGAAGATGCAGCAGCAATTCAAACAAATTGAGGAGCTCTATCTCGCATTCGCCAAGAAGGCTTCCACCTTCAACTCGTGGTTCGAGAATGCCGAGGAGGATCTTACCGATCCTGTCAGATGCAATTCTTTGGAAGAAATTCGTGCTCTTCGCGATGCCCATGCCGAGTTCCAGGTAATTTAGAAGAAAAAAAACTATGAATTGAGAAATTTAACTTTCAGCGTTCATTGTCCTCCGCTGAAGAGGACTTCCGCCAACTTCAAGATCTTGATCGTCGGATCAAGTCGTTCAATGTGGGCCCCAACCCTTATACTTGGTTCACTATGGATGCCCTCGAAGACACGTGGCGCAACCTTCAGAGAATCATCAAGGAGAGAGAACAAGAGCTTGCTAAGGAGCATCAACGACAGGAAGAGAACGATAAGCTTCGAAGAGAATTCGCGAAATTGGCTAATGCTTTCCATACTTGGCTGACAAACACCCGACAAGAAGTAATATATATGATATGGAAATTAATCCTTCAATTAATATTTTTAGATGATGGAAGCTGGAGGATCTCTTGAGGAGCAATTAGACGCTGTGAAACGAAAGGCTTCAGAGATCAGAGCAAACAAAACGCAACTGCGACAAATTGAAGAAAAAGGTGCAATGCTTGAGAGGAACCTTATCCTGGACAACAGGTACACTGAGCATTCCACTGTTGGTATTGCTCAAGCCTGGGACCAACTAGATCAGCTGGCTATGAGAATGCAACACAATTTGGAGCAACAGATCCAGGCCAGAAATCAATCGGGAGTCACGGAAGAGGCATTGAGAGAATTCTCGATGATGTTCAAACATTTCGACAAGGTAACATCAAAGCAGAAAGAACAAAAGAAGAAAGAATCAAAATTTTCAGGACAAGACTGGAAGACTCGACCACCGGCAATTCAAGAGCTGTCTGCGGGCTCTTGGATACGATTTGCCAATGGTGGATGAGGAACAACCAGAACCAGAATTCCAGAGAATTTTGGATATTGTTGATCCGAACAGAGATGGTTACGTGACACTCCAAGAGTACATGGCCTTCATGATCAGCAAGGAAACCGAGAATATCCAATCGTCAGAGGAAATTGAGATGGCGTTCAGAGCACTTTCCAAGGAATTCCGACCATATGTCACTGCCGAAGAACTTTACGCGGTTAGTTTGAAATGTGAACTTGCTTATGAAGGTTATTATTTTCAGAACCTCACACCCGAGCAAGCGGAGTTCTGCATAAAGAGAATGAAGCCGTACACAGACGCCATTTCCGGAAGATCAATTCAAGGAGGACTCGACTACGAGCAATTCGTGCACGCTCTTTTCCAGAGCTAAACAATTGTTTTCGTAATTGGGTGCTTTTTGTATTTTACGTCATATGTTGTTACAACATCGTTTTCCGTCGACTGGTCACTTCTTCCGTTCTCCTTGTTCTTTTTTCCATATTCCCTTAACTTTTGAGCATTATTCATTGATATTATTTAATTATTGCTGTATGCTATTATGATAATGTTTTAAAATTATATTATATGTTTGAACACTTTATAATTGAAGAGCAATCTGCGTACAACCTGCCGCTCTCCTTGTGTGCCGATTTTTAATATGTTTCATTCCGCTGCTTTTAATCGATGCACTGCTATGTGACGATTGTTGAATTGCGAAAAAATACACACAAACCTATTGTCTTTATTATTATAGCTTTCTGTCTCCATCATATTTTGAATAAATCTAAATAGCTGCAACCGATTGATCCCATAATTGTTTGAAATGCTTATTACATGCAGGCTTGAGCTTCAAAGAGAAAAAAAAAATAATATCTTTAATTCTGCAATCAAGTTGTTGAATATCCAAAGAGATTTGCCTTTTTAAAACTTTAATTTTTTTCAAAATTAAACATTTTCGAATACATGTTTCAATGTTTAATTCAAAGAATGAAGGACCAGCTTTTTCATTAACGAAATTTTTGATTGTAGTTTGAAAAAAAAGCACAATCTAAAAATTCATGATCGTTTTCGAAGCGATATTTCACTTTGGACGATTTGAAGGCATTCTTCGAATTACAATTGCTAGTAGATGAATGCATTTGCGTGCAAGAAGGTCCATCCAATCCCATTAAAGTTGAGCAATTTTTGAGATTAGGTTTTGCCCAGCACGGCATCCTACTTTTTTAGTACGCATATATATGTATATATATATATAATTTTTATAATATATATAATTTTTCAACAAAAGAATTGAACTGAGGAAAGTCCAATTTTGTCCGAAAAAATGTAAACAAGTGTGAATCATTTACTCAATTATTCCCATAGATTAAACTGATTCGATTCATATTGACAACATCGCGCACCAAAGAACACTAAAATGTTTAGTTTTCTATTTTTTTAGGGGAATCCTTGCTCAAAAAACTGAGTAAAGAGAACGCCGTAGCAAACCACGATTGCAAATAACGGTAAATATAGAGGTTTTACTTGATATCGCAATGTTTATTTGACGTTTGAATCGTTTTGCACAAACACAAAATCGGCTATCGAGTGTTTGTGGCGATCCGACATTTACTCGAAAACGATTTCTTATCAAATTTGTAGTTCAATTTCGACGCATTGTTTACATCATTTCAACTCTTGACGCTTTCTTATCTATAGTGCTTTTTTAATCAATTTGATACCAAGTGAGAAACACTCAAAACAGGTTTTTGCAGACTCATAACAACTCCGTCTGAACAATGAAGTGTGATCAATAAATTGTGCACATGGCGGCGATGGATGAGATTGATGAGTGCCGACACATGTTTTTGGCATTCAAATTCAAAATATTACAACATGAGATCAACTGAAATATATTATTTTATTGACTGTGTGAAAAGTCTGCTAGATAATCTTTCGCCAATTTTATGGTCTAAAAATTTTGACGACGCAATAAAATTTTTTAAAATAAAAACAGTGAAAGCCTAAGAATATCGATGGGTTTTTGAACGAATTATATAATAATCTCCAGAATGTCAGGAAAAATTAATGTTTAAAAAACCACATTACATAGTTTTTCATTGACTAAGATTTATTTGGGAAAAAATATTCGTGTTTACCACCACAGTTGACGTCAATATTCTAGAAAGATAATCTTGTTACCAAAGATTTTCAATGGAATCATGTTCTACTCCATTCAAATTCGATATTCAAAATCACACATTAAAATCGATAAATGATGTTAGTAAGCTGCTGTTATATCAAATTCTTGAAATTTAATGAGTGTTTTTTTTAATCAAATTTAATGATTTTCGATTTAGTATATTTGCGTTACTTGTAATTATAAAAAAAACATTTTGCTCAAATATCATCAATTTTCAATTTTGGTACAGACATCTCATTGATACCATATCTACATTCTCTTGCATCATCTATATTTCATTGTTTTTTGTTTTTTTTATTTGGTTTTTGGTTTTGATCTGTCGTTGGCCTTGAGATACGCACCATATATATTTTTGAAATTGAAAGTCAACAACATTGAGGTCGTCTGTTGTTCTCGCTGCGTTCTCTCGCCCGCCGAATTTTCCAGAACATTTTTTTGGTTCCGCCATACGGCAAAAAACACGTTCAATGGAAAGAAAGGCTCTTTCGTATTTTTGCATATCCCTCAGTTTTATGCGAGCACACAGTGGAGATTTGCTTAGTCGTCTGAATTCATACGCGTTTGATTTTTTCGCTTTTCTGTGCATGGTTCTTTCGCAGAACAATGATGAAGATAGGAAACGCAGTCAAAACAACTTGTTTTCTTTTTGCTGTGTCGCGCTGATAAAACGTGAGCAGTTTGAGAAGAAAAGACTTCAGGAGGAATCGAAGAAAGCTCGAGAAGAAGCGACCTCACAACAACTCTGTTGGCTACGTGCATTCAGTGAGTATTCGTGTGTGTTTCTTGCGCCTCTGCGCCGCCGCCATTTTCCATCGATTTTGCGTTTGGCCCAGTGCAGTAGGCGCCGCTGCCGCCGTCCCGCCCCATTCTCACTTGCAATGTTCCCTTCCCCCCCTTCCTCTCCGAGCATTGCGCCGACGGGCCATTCTCGGCTTGCTGCTGCTGCTTTCAGTCGTCTTCTCTCTTCTTAACCGCTGTATTTTTTTGTTAGTTTCCATATAGTCCTCGTATTCATTTCGACGACAACAATTTTGGGGGTTTCCGAAAAAATCGAGATGATAAGATAACGCCAATTCGAGTTCTTCAATATAAACAAAACATTTTCGCGGCGTCTCACACCCGCCGGCAAGTCATTTTTTTTTGAGCGTCACGGCCGCCGTCCCGACCCTCTGCGTTCCTAACCACATCTCAAAACAGTTGTGTGTGCGTGTTCATGTGTAAAAAGTATTATCGATTGTTGACAGGCTCTCTCAGTGCAGAGGCCATTGGATGGGCGGTTCGAAAAATAGGTCTCTTGCGAAACAAGTTGTTTGCATCATTCTTTTTCATCGTGGCCTCTTTCTCTCCCCATTTTGTGTGTGCGTGTGTCAGTGTGTGAGATTGGCACATCCCCGTTCTTCTAGTTCATTCTTCATCGTTCATCTCCTTTAATCTCAACGTTTGAGACAATAACCATGTCTGGTGCTGAAAGAGGTAGTGGTTTTGGCCATGGGGGCGGCACCGGTGGCTCCATTCAGGACGCAGGTGGCTCATTAGGACGAATGGCAGCTGCGAAAGAAAACGAGTTTTTTCGCAAGAAGGACCAAGAGCTCATTGAGAAACTGAAGCAGAACAGCTCGCAAATCAAAGTGAATACCAGACGGTCATTACACTAGTGACCTCCGTGATTGAATGACAGATATCATTTCTATGTGAGATCAAAAGTTCATTCATTCACAATATTAACAGATGTATCATTAATTGCGATCTTTCAGCCTCATGAACAACCAGAACAGTCGAAAAAATAATTGTTGATGTCACGAGCATTCAATCTCTTTTCATGCATTTTCCAACTATTTCATTACGTTTTTTGACTTATTACCTCTACTTCTTGTATTTTCGTAATTATGTTTTTTCTCTGAAAGCAGAAAAAATAAACAATTACATTTCAGCTTGATAATGTCGAAGCCACAAGTTGGAATCAACGGATTCGGAAGAATCGGACGTCTTGTCCTCCGCGCTGCCGTTGAGAAGGACACCGTGCAAGTTGTTGCTGTCAATGATCCATTCATCTCGATCGACTACATGGTCTACCTTTTCAAATACGACTCTACTCACGGACGTTTCAAGGGAACTGTCGCCCACGAGGGAGACTATCTCATCGTCACCACCGAAGGAAAGAGCCAACATAAGATCAAGGTCTTCAACAGCAAGGACCCTGCTGAGATCCCATGGGGAGCTGCCGGAGCTCACTATGTCGTCGAGTCGACTGGAGTCTTCACAACCATCGAGAAGGCCAACGCTCACTTGAAGGGAGGAGCCAAGAAGGTTAAATACATTTATTTTTGCAGCACATAATGTTCTATTATAGGTCATCATTTCTGCTCCATCTGCTGACGCCCCAATGTTTGTCGTTGGAGTCAACCACGAGAAGTACGATCATGCTAATGATCATATCATCTCCAACGCTTCGTGCACCACCAACTGCTTGGCTCCACTCGCCAAAGTAAAATAGTATAAATTGTGAAGAAACGTCACATTGCTTATTTAGGTTATCCATGACAACTTCGGAATCATTGAGGGTCTCATGACCACCGTCCACGCTACCACAGCTACCCAGAAAACCGTTGACGGACCATCTGGAAAGCTCTGGAGAGACGGACGTGGAGCTGCTCAAAACATCATCCCAGCCTCCACTGGAGCCGCTAAAGCCGTCGGAAAAGTTATCCCAGAGCTCAATGGAAAACTCACCGGAATGGCCTTCCGCGTCCCAACCCCAGACGTCTCGGTTGTCGACTTGACTGCTCGTCTCGAGAAGCCAGCTTCGCTCGATGACATTAAGAAGGTCATTAAGGCCGCTGCCGATGGACCACTCAAGGGAATCTTGGCTTACACCGAAGATCAAGTCGTATCGACTGACTTCGTCTCTGACCACCACTCGTCCATCTTCGACGCCGGAGCTTCTATCCTTTTGAACCCGAACTTTGTCAAGCTCATCTCGTGGTACGATAACGAGTTCGGATACTCGAACAGAGTCGTCGATCTCATCTCGTACATTTCCACCAAGGCTTAAATTGAATGATACCTTTAAATATTAATACTCCCGTAAAGTAGACAATAATTTGACTATACCTAGTTTCAGTGGTCTCGCTACCTATTATTTCCTGGTCTCTTGTAATAAAATGGTTGTAAAATTTTTCATTTCTCTATTTTCCATATCCTCGTTTTGATCGAGCTTATTATCTGACATTGTATTTTTTTTAATTTTGTTAGTTCACATATATTTAGTATTTCAGGGTTTTTGGTCTCTCTCGCTCATTCAATAATGTCGAAGCCACAAGTTGGAATCAACGGATTCGGAAGAATCGGACGTCTTGTCCTCCGCGCTGCCGTTGAGAAGGACACCGTGCAAGTTGTTGCTGTCAATGATCCATTCATCTCGATCGACTACATGGTCTACCTTTTCAAATACGACTCTACTCACGGACGTTTCAAGGGAACTGTCGCCCACGAGGGAGACTATCTCATCGTCACCACCGAAGGAAAGAGCCAACATAAGATCAAGGTCTTCAACAGCAAGGACCCTGCTGAGATCCCATGGGGAGCTGCCGGAGCTCACTATGTCGTCGAGTCGACTGGAGTCTTCACAACCATCGAGAAGGCCAACGCTCACTTGAAGGGAGGAGCCAAGAAGGTTAAATACATTTATTTTTGCAGCACATAATGTTCTATTATAGGTCATCATTTCTGCTCCATCTGCTGACGCCCCAATGTTTGTCGTTGGAGTCAACCACGAGAAGTACGATCATGCTAATGATCATATCATCTCCAACGCTTCGTGCACCACCAACTGCTTGGCTCCACTCGCCAAAGTAAAATAGTATAAATTGTGAAGAAACGTCACATTGCTTATTTAGGTTATCCATGACAACTTCGGAATCATTGAGGGTCTCATGACCACCGTCCACGCTACCACAGCTACCCAGAAAACCGTTGACGGACCATCTGGAAAGCTCTGGAGAGACGGACGTGGAGCTGCTCAAAACATCATCCCAGCCTCCACTGGAGCCGCTAAAGCCGTCGGAAAAGTTATCCCAGAGCTCAATGGAAAACTCACCGGAATGGCCTTCCGCGTCCCAACCCCAGACGTCTCGGTTGTCGACTTGACTGCTCGTCTCGAGAAGCCAGCTTCGCTCGATGACATTAAGAAGGTCATTAAGGCCGCTGCCGATGGACCACTCAAGGGAATCTTGGCTTACACCGAAGATCAAGTCGTCTCGACTGACTTCGTCTCTGACCACCACTCGTCCATCTTCGACGCCGGAGCTTCGATCATCTTGAACCCGAACTTCGTTAAACTCATCTCGTGGTACGATAACGAGTTCGGATACTCGAACAGAGTCGTCGATCTCATCTCGTACATCTCCACCAAGGATTAAATGATTACTCTTATTATTATTTGGCGTCTCACAATATTATTTGGCAAGAAAATGTAGTATAGCATCATTATATTTATTCTTTTTCACTAATAAATAATTTCTGCATGTTAGTTTCAACGAAAATGAGATCTTGATACGTCACTACGCTTCAAGCATATATCAGTCAAAAACAAAAATCAGAATTACCGGAAAAATTTCTATTCATCAAATTTTATGTCTGTAAAAACTTTAGATTTCTGAAAAAAATTGATGATGTCGATTGCTTAATTCGCATTGCTTATTCACTTTTCTCAAACACGTCCTGATCAAATTTCTAACAAAAACGATATTTTTGATTCCGATCCGCTGATGTGTCAGACGTATCATTAAAACGCACGTCCGTATTCAGTGTTATGAATTATAAATGGTGAGAAAAACGTACACGATTTTATTACGATTGCGTAACATTATCTTATATTTTGCGAATATACTATTCTAGCCATACCTATTGTACATATATGGTACGACGGTTTTGAGCAGCGTCCCTCAACTTTTTTCTAGTTTTTTGGTTACCATTAAGCAATGATTTTATCTACATAAATCTCTCTATTACACTATAACGCTATGCACACAATACAGGGTGCGCCATAAATACGAAGCCGCTTTCAAAACGGTGTAAAAAGATTAGTTTCAAAGATTTTTTTCTGAGATTCAACCAAAATGTTTATTAAATTATAAGAAAGAAAGTAGCATTAAGAGTTTTCGAATCTTCCGCATTTCGCCTTGATCACAGCTCGGAGTCTCTTCGGGTAGTTGTCGATGACGGCACGCAGGTAATTGTCGTCCAAATCGTCCCATGCATTCTCGAGTGCGATCATCAATGCTCCCAAATTAGGATAGTTTTACGTGGGAACCTTCTGGGTCAAATACCACACCGAGAAGTCCATAGGGTTCAAGTCCGGGCTGCTTGCTGGCCATTCCGCGGCTGTGATGAAATGGGGGAAATGAGTCGCGCACCACTGTTGAGTCGCTTTGGCACGGTGGGCAGGTGCCCCGTCTTGCTGGAACGTCCAATCCCGATTCCCAAAGTGAGATTGAGCCCATGAAGTACTGCCGATTCGAGAATCTTTTCCATGTAGTAATTGTGATTGATTTTGTCGCCCAGATCCACGAAAACCAGTGGTATCTTCCCATCAGAGCAGATACCTCCAAAAACCATCACTGAAGCCGAGTGGGAAGTTTTATTCAAAAATTTTCCCTTCTTGACATCTGTCTAGAAGTCCTTAGCAATGATTCTGTGGTTGTGGCCGTTCTTGTTGGCTTCCACAGCGAATATCTTCTCGTCAGTGAACAAAGTTTTCAAGTGCGTGCCTTGACGCGTGTCACGAAGAAGGGCTTGTGCTTTGGTCACACGAAGAGCTTTATTTTTCTCCGTAAGGAATGCTCCGTTTTGAAAACGATAAGGAATCATACGAAGCTTGTCTCTGACCACTCTTCTCATCGAATTTTCACTCATTCCAAGCTCCAGTGCCATCCTTCTCATGCTTCTTTCCGGATTCCTCCGAATGCGCTCCCTGATAACTTTCACCACCTTCGGAGTCGTCACAGTCAGTGGGCGTCCAAATCTCTGCTTGTCTTTCAAAGTACCAAGCTTTTTGAACCGATTGAGAGTTTTGTTCACCACCGATTTAGCCACACCGAGCTTCTGAACGATCTCTGCCGAACGCATTCCAAACTTCGATAACTCAACGATGGTAGCCCTGAACGGGGAAGCTGCTGTTATAACCTTAAAACGAATTATATCGAGCTGGAACTTAACAAACTAGGAAAACATAAAATAAACTTTAAAAAAAAATAATTGTGCGCAATTAAATGGGTACGGTAGGCTCCAGAGTTGACACAAAGTTGCGGCTCCGTATTTATGGCGCACCCTGTAGTTTAAAATGTTGCCGAAATGAAAAATCGATCATGCTGATTGATGTTGATAATTTTGCTTCAATTTCTCTATTTTTACGTGGTATGCATGATTTTGTTTGTTTTTTTTTTTAATAAAAGCGAGTAATCTGTTTAATATTGAATTTAGTTAAATTTGCTTCAGTTTCATTTTTAAAGAATAAATAAACTCAGGAAACATTATTTGAAAAAACCACCACTCCCTCCTTTCAGTAAATTCTTTAACAAAACAAAAACGTGGTTCAGATATCCCACATGTTATTTTTAATACTTTGAGATTGCGGAAACAATCATGTGATAGACAGACCATGCTTTGATTTTAAACTTGCCGCAAGAGGTTCATATGCTCGGCTCCTGGGAATTCGTTATTTTTCCTCTCTTTTTCGCGTCTACATCCAGAAAAAAGACGTTTCACTGCGGTGCTGCATCGATCCCTAAACCAGCCGACTACGTCTTTTTCCTTTTTGTTTTCTCTGCCAGCAATATTGCTCTCCAATTCGATGCACAATTACTTTAGAATTTCTTTTGTTTTGTGTTTTTTTTTGCTTTGCTCACGAGGGAGTCTCGCCAATTCAATCACATGTCTCAATTCTTCTTGCACTCAATTTGTCATTTTTTTTTCTAATCATAATCGTTTCACACGCTGGTTCGGGATTAATTTGACAGCTGATAATGGAATTCAATTTATGCACGACATTTTATTGTACATCGTATTTTCAGCATTCCATATTCAAAACTCAGTTTATGGAATTTACTGTTCATTTCGCTGTTCGTTGTCCAGCCATTAGAGATTGGGAATTTGTCCATGTTGTTGGAAACTTGCCTATTCTCGGTGATTGGCAGCCAAAGAAATCGTATCGTCTAAAGCAAAATCCGGAGGACAAGTAAGTTCTCTTTTTTTCATGTTAAATAAAAAAAATTCAGAGAGTTATGGAAAGGTTCGATTAAAGTGCCAACGAGTGTAAAGGATATTTTCTTCCGCTATGCAAAATTCTTTGATCTCGATTCCGCGGACAACAACAAAGACGAACCGATTCCAATCATTTCCAAGTCGGTTTTTCATCAATTTCAGAAAATGCGAGAAATCAATCAAGAATTGTTTTTTCTATACTTATTTTCGAAAATACCGCCATTTTCTAACCAATTTGTTGAATTTTCAAGATGGGAAACGATTTCCTCGCCAAGACATTGTTTACTAGAATGCGAGAGCACAAAATGCGTCGCGAGGGAAAATACCGTGGACCAATTTGGCGAATATGGTATTGAATTGGATTTTTTAGATTTAAATTCGATTTGATCATACAGGAGGAAGAACCGAAATTTCTGATGGTTGGATCATTCACTTGAAAGAGCAAGTTGTTTATTTCCGGATTCATGGAGAAGTAATAAACAAATTTGATTCATGAATGCAACACTTGTATTATAGGCATTGAAAATCTACGACAAAAAATATTCCAACGCCGAGCTCCGTTTGAAAGTTGTACCGTTCGACGTACGGTTCAGTGATGTGAGTTTTCGACCTTCAAATAACAATGACCCTAATGTTATCTGAGTTTTTAACCATTGCAGATGTTTTCTTATAATAAAAGGGGTGTTGATAATCGTCGAGGTATTTGGAGGCATTCTTCTCTTTTTGCTTCAGTCTCTGTTTCTGTAGGTTCAATAATGTTGTGAAAATGTGTTAGATCTATCCATTTCATCAAAATCTGCAAATTATTTAGCATTTACTGTTGAAAGTTTCAGAAAGAAGGGGAAGATTCGGTAGATTCCGTTCAATATAGACCCACTCGACCTTCTTTTTCGCCTACTCTTCTTTCGGCATGAATATTTGTTGCTTATTATTCACAATCATACCGGTTTCAAGGTTCTTACACGTGAAGATCCGATATTTGGCGACCAGTACGAAAATGGGTCCGTTTTCCGAAACAATATTGACTATTTGGTTTTCCGTACTCGAACTGTTTCGATTCAAAATTTAGTAAGTCGAGATTGTTTTCGGAGAAGCTAGAAAACTTTTCAGGGATTTTGCATTAATGTTTATCGCGATGGAAAACTATGGTCATCGGCGTATGCACTCCCATCAACATTTCCAAACACTCATGGCGCATCGATTTTCCCATTTTTAAACAATTCAAAACCCGTAGGAACATTGACCGGTGGGAAAAGCTATAAAAAATATATGTGTATATATGTATATATGTAATGTGTGTTGTAGTGGATTATATGATTGCGAAGCGAAGTCCGGCCGCTGAAACGAATCCTACGATCGATGATATGAGTGTCACATTTGGCCGATATTGGAGAAAACGGAAACGCATTTTGGAAATTGGGCATCGAGGAATGGGAAGTTCCTATACGAAGTTAGTGCTTCTATATGGGAAACGTTAATTAGTGAGACATAGATAATTTCCAATTTTCTTTTCGAAGCATCCAACGGGAACACATAACTTTGACAAAAAAACAGCCTAGTGTACTTATTGTGTAAAGCTAATTAAAGAAATACGTCGGCTCGGGAAAACACGGTGTTTTCCATGAATCAAGCTGCGCAGCGTGGAGCTGATTACGTTGAATTGGATGTCCAACTCACAAAGGTTTTCACAAACATTATATATCATTCAAAATTATTGTCAGGACCTGAAAACCGTCGTATATCATGATTTTCATTTGTTGGTTACTGTTAGTGGACGTGATTCGCCAACAAAATCGCCATCAAATGCGGAAAATAAATCATTGCATGAGATACCGATCAAGGTTTTGACGTTAACGGGTGTTTTAATCAAAATCTTTGATAACTTTTTTTTAGGATTTAACTTTCAATCAGCTCAATCTTCTTCATTTTGAGCACATTTCAAAAGCAAATCCAACAGATGACAATGTTACACTATCGGTAACACCAGGAAAAGATGATACGGATAAAAAACACGACCCGTTTCCTTCACTGGCAACTGTTTTGACAACGGTTGATAAAAATGTTGGATTGAACATTGAAATTAAGTATCCTATGTACATGAAAGTAAATGGATGCAACGAGGCAAGGCAACTTAATTTGAATTCAGGATGGTTCTCATGAATGCCAAGGATACTTTGAGCAGAACATGTTCGTCGATATTATTCTTGGCGAAGTAGCGCAATATGCTGGAGATCGACGAATTATTTTCTCATGCTTCGAGCCGGATATCTGCACATTGTTTGAAAGCCACAGCCATCTCAATATAACAAATTTCAATTAAGAATAACTCAAAAACAGCACAAATATCCAGTATTGTTCCTCGTCGTTGGAGCTACAAACCGATATATGCCATTTCAAGTAACTGCGATTATTTGAATATGAAAACCACTTTTTTTAAGGATATTCGCTCTGACAGTAGTAAAATTGCTGCCAATTTCGCGGCTGGATGCGAACTTCTTGGTGTAAATTTTCATAGTGAAGAACTTTTGAATGTGAGATTTTTATTAGATTTTATACATATTATATCACTCAAATTTTAGGATCGTAACCCAATCGCAATAGCTGATAAATATAAGCTTGTAAAATTTGTATGGGGAGATGACTTGAATTCGAAAGAAATTCAGAAATTATTCAAAGAAGAAATGAATATCGATGGCATAATTTTCGACAGGTAAATATATTTCGCTTAATTAATCTTATATTTTTCATTTCAGGATCGGTGAAGACGAAACATTGAAATCGAATGTATTTATCTTAGAGAAAGAACATCGAAAATCGCTGTTCACCAAAAATGGATCGAAGTCGCCAAATGTGAATCGTCGATGCATGTCAATGGCAACGGACCATTAAATTAGGCTATTAATTTTTGAATTGTGAATAAAATTATACATTGCTTATAGGATGCATATTTGAGATAAACTAGATTTGTCTTGTTGGGTGCTTTAAAAATAATTGCATACTTTGAAATCTGATAAATTGTACACGAAGACTATGCAGAAAAAAGAAAATAAAAAATTTCAATGAAGAAAAATCGACAATTAAAAATTTAGTGAAAAAATTGCCAAAATCAATTTTTTTCATTATTTTTTTATGAACTGCAATTAATTTTTTTTATTTCATTAGGAATCAAAAATATTTGTTATGAAAAACTAGACACGTACTAAAATTAAAGTTACATGGCAATACTGATATTTCAATATGGTTTATAATATATCATTTTTGACTTAGTTCGATTTTTTTACGTCTATTTAATATTTTAATCTTTAATTTTTTGGATATACTTAATTTCGTGAAGAATTTTCTGGGTATCCCATTTTCTGCTACAAAATCCTCTACGTTGTCTAACAAACCGCAACAAATGCGCCCTATTGCAAAGCAGTTTGCCATTGACGCTTCAGCTGTCAAGTTGCATACGTGCGCGCTTACGGCGTGCGTTGCCGCTTTCTTGATATGAATGATCAACAAGAACCCATTTTATACAATGCTGAAGATACCCCCTTTGACGGGAACGAATTTTTGGATCCATTCAATGAAGAGGACGTTTTGGTATATGCTTGCAACTTAAAAAAAAAACAACTCATTTTGGTTTTTTTTCAGATTGAAGAGAGCGCATTCGAATATGATCCCGAATTCGGGGAATTCACTGAAACACGCGAATTCATTGAGCCATCAGCTTTTGATAGTAAACCACCAATAAAGGGTTTTCAATTAAAAATCAATTTTCAGTGGAATTTCAAATGCAGGATCACCTCTTCGTTGATGATCCAAATCTCATTCAATTTGACAATTGTGAACCATCAACGTCCGATGCTTCAACACATATGGAGCCCATAGAGCAAATAGAGGAATATGAAGAACTCGAAGAAATTCAAATCATTCCAGAAGATGAAATTGGCGAAGTCGTAGAAGAAATTGTGTTGGGAGAAGACGTCTGTTTAAAAATCAAATGTGACTCTCAAACAAAAATATTGCAGGGCCAACCAACTGTTTTACCCCCAACTCACATTACTCCATTCAATCCAGACGAAGGAGAACCTCAAGGTTGGTTTCGGTTTAAAAAAAAGCTTGTTTAATTCCTATGCTGCTTTTAATTATAGATTCCCCAATTATGCCACTCTGCCACCCATGCAACACTCTTTTCCAAACTTTCGCTGGTTTCGAATACCATGTTTTGAAGGATCATGTTGGGTAATATTTTATTGAATACTGAACAATATAATGAATATATATTTATATAGATATCGCCAATTCAGTTGCGCTGTTTGTCATAAACGTTCGTTTTATACTGAAGCTGAAGGACGTCATCATATGGATCAGTTTCATACGGCATTTAAACATTTGGCGGTTCGTTTGTTAATTGTTTTATGCGTTGGGTCAAGTATAAAAATATTGCAAGCCGTTTTGAAATTATTTGTAGTTTTAAAAATCAATCTATACTATTGAAAGTTTCGAAATGAACTCTCGTGTAAACGGTACCATTATTGATTTCCCAATTATGTTTCAGTTGTGCAAACATTTTGACCCAGAGAAAGAAGAAGCGACAATGGAATTATACAATCAAGTACATATAATGAGAAGAGAAGATGTAAGTGGATATGAGCCAGACTTGTTTTTATTGTTTCTTATGAATCGTCAGATTGATATAAATGCTTACGAAGCACAATGCATCTACGGACCAGCTGTTAATCATTATAAGAAATTCAACCGAATGAGATTCACGATTCCACAATGCGTCAAGAAAAGAAAGTAGGCAAACTTTTTTGAAAATTTCCGTGAATTATCCTTCGTTTAGCGCTACAACTCTTAGAAGTGACAAGACTACTCAAGTTGGCGTATCAGCATTTTCAAGGAAAAGGATGTACTTGCCGTTTGCAACAGCTCAACAACGTCAAATACCGCAAATGAATCTCAACCATTCGGTAAATCTCATATAAGAAATATGTGAAAATGTTGTTTAATGTTCAGAAATTGAATGAACCATCAACAAGTAGCCGTGCTCCGATATTTCATGAAGATTTAGTCAGACCGAAAAAAAATCCAAGATTGAAGAATGCCATGTTTCGCGATTACCAGAGTGTAAGTAGTGATATTTTATTGAATTGCAATTTGTTTTCTGCTCCAGAGTTCTCGCATGTCTCGTGGTTACCCTGTTAATCGTATACAGAGAGAGGAGGACGTCCCGGGACCCTCAAATCGTAGCACACCAATGCGATTCATTAGCAATCGACGTCCAAATACACAAAATTAAGTCTTTCTAGACATCACACTAATACTAAATCTGTTCCAAAATGTGACGTTAAATTTTTTTGATTATCCATTCAATTTTTTTGTATTCGTTGTCAGATTAAATTATCTGTTGTAATTGCTGCTGATTCATTTTTATATTTTGCTGTATTTTTTAAATGTAGTAAACTACCGATTTTACTAAAACAAAAAAGTTTAACATTGCATGGTTGTTTAGTTTCTCTAATTTATTATTTTACATGGGTATAACACGTAATTGGTTGAAAAAAAAAACAATTGTGTATATATTTTCACGACAATTATTGGAAATCTTCATATAAAATCGAAACCTCCTCAAAAATCTTTAGCTTCACGAGTAGAAAAAGAATTGTGGAAAATTTTGAGGAATGTGTCCACGCAATGATGAGGAATTGCACCGATGAGGAAAAAATTGCGTACTGTTTCGAAATTTTCACGCGAAAAAAAAACGTAATTACAACTTTACATATTTTCTTTTGAAATAAGCTGGTTCCTGTTGCTTCAGAATTTATTCGCTATCATTAGAGACGTAAGTACGGCCGATTCTGATAGGTGTTTGTAAAGAAGCGGAAAATAATGTTAATTTAATTATAATTTTTTTCTTAATGATAAGAGATGTTTAACATTTGCTTACAAGAAGATAGAATCCTAATTATTCAAGATTTTCGAATATTTCAAAAATTTATTGAGTGATTTTCAATTTTTTTTCGTAATCATTCATCAAAATTCTCGAAATCCTTCCAAGAAACTTTTACGAATATTACTTTGAAGAGATTTCGATGATATTTAAGCTAAAATTGCTCTGCATTTTCTCAACTATTTTTAACATTATGCAAAAAACGGAAATTGTTACTGAAAAATATTTTACGATCCAATTTGCACCGAGCCGGAATTTGAAAATAAAATCAATAAATACTATCAATTCTATTTTTGAAATTATAAATTTTTAATTAATGCAAAAAAAATTGAATTTGAGAGAATTTTCATAAAACATCAATTTTCAGATGACATTGCGCTATTTTATATCACGTATTAAATAAATAGTTAAAATAAGTTTAAAAAAAAACCCCTAGAAGATTTATATTTTTTGTCAATACTTCCAAAAATAATCGGTACAAATCGGAAAAATTGTTCCAAAACCTGTTCAGAAAAGTAATTGTCCGATTTTTTGGTGTAAACCCAGTTTGAAATTAGTTACTGAAAAAAATACGGCACGAGAACATCGTAAAGTTTAAACAAGTGGCTGGATAATTGAGGAAATGAGGGCATTGATAAAATGATTTAATTAGAACTAATGTAATGCTCGATAATTATCGTTAGTGACATTTGAAAATTACCCCGAACACCTGTTGTAACCATAATGTCGGTCAAGCGTTAATTAGTTAAAGTGACATTTTTGTAAACATTATGCCAAACAACGATTGAAAATTATTGTTTTTATACGCCTCATTTTTGTTAAACTCATATTATTATGTTGAAAAACAAATTTAAGCGACTTCGTATCATTTTCCAATTTCAAATTCAATTTTCTGAGTCTTTTCAAGACTCTTGAGAGATACAGTAAGCATTCTTTTCCTCACTCCTACTTTCGATTTGGTTTTTCCAATAATTTGGTATGTTGACGATTACAGCGAAAAAAAAATGAACAATTGCTGGCCGCATGTTTAATAATACGTTACATTTTGATATATATATTTTTTTTCATTGGACTTCGCCTTTTTCTGCGCTGTTGTTTTTTGTTTCTTCTCAACCTAATTTGCCGCCGTAGTTATTCTTCACCGGTAAATAGATGCAAAATGGCGTGAAGTAGCAGCAACATCAGAACAAGAAGAAGCAACCACAGATGAGTATTGAAGAAGTTTCACGATTGAAATAGTGTGACAAAGCAAGCGACATGAAAGAATCGTAAGTGGGAGGAGCCGGCTGGAACGAGACATTGCGCCACTTCAAGAGACGATACGCAAAGCATCGACGAGAGAACAACGGGACAGCGCAGACATTCACTCACGCACTCAGCTGATCATACCTATTCCTGTTCAGCGATGGATCAAGGTTGCAGCACGCTGGTGCGAAGTCTCGAGCAAAAATACCTGGACGACGATGACACCGTCGTAAAGGATATTCTCTTCACTGGATTTGTTAGTGCAAACACCTTCGATTTCTAATGCAAATATAATTTTTTTTTTGTAGACCGGTTGCTCGCCATGCAAAATGGCTAGTCAAAGAGCATTGGAGCTTCTTGTATTGAACAATATGAATATCGTTTCCATCGGCGACACTGAAAAACTCGCGACTTTGGCCTCTCACGTGCTAGAGGTTCTTGTTTTTCTTGTTTGTCTGTTTTTTTTTTTGAAAAAAACTCTCCTTGTTTATTCCATTGTGTCGTTTTTTTTTCTCAAAATAACTCAATCGAATTCAAAATTATTCCTTATTTTATTTTTATATTCTTCTCATTTAAATCGAAACAGCGTTTGGAATCACTGCCAGAAGACACATGTGTTTTTAAAATGTTGAAAAATGTGTGTCGTTTATGTGTAAAATTGGTTGAAATGAGCGTTGTTTGTGGGTTCCACTTTGATTGATCTCGACAAGTGTGGCCCAACAAAGCATGACATAAGCTAGCGTTTTTTTTTCAGGCCGATCTCGGTTGGAACCAAATTGCTCAATGGTCCGACGTCTCGTCCATCCTCAGAAGTCTTCCTCACATTCGCGTGCTTAATATTGGTCACAATCCCCTCAATCAGGAGGTATTACACTATGACATGAAAAAAAGAACCAATATTGAAGATTGAACGCATTGTTGGTGAAACATTGAACGCGTCAGATGACACTTTCATTTTGATTTCAAGAGTTGATAACCACATGTGACACTTAGGCAAACTGTTTGCTTTCATTCTTTATTGACACACAAAAAAACGATATGGGAAAGAAAAGTATGATCGAGTTTACAGATCGACTGTGAACTACCTGAAGTCCCGACACTTCACACAATTATTTTGAATGGGACGCATTTGCCATTCCGTACCCTTCGATCTTTTCTTGCCGTCCTGCCAAATGTTACTGAACTGCATCTTTCGGACAACCAGTTCGAATGTTCTGACGATGATTTTCTCCCGATTAGCACCTCGGTCCGAACAATTCATTTGAATAGGTAAAGACTGTCAAAACGAGCATTTTTTGTACACAACAATTGCGCAAACTGCACCGCGATATTTGTTATGTTTACAAAAATGAATTTCAATAGGAATCTGCGAAAAATTTGTAAAGTTAAAATATAAAATTCCGATTTGTTTGTCGCTCGTATGTCGGCCCTTCCATTTTTGGGGGGAGCATATTCGATTATTTTGACTTATGCATTTGCCGCACCCACTCCGCGAGCTCTCGTTTTACACTTTGCCGTGCGGTATAGAATTTGACGCTTTGTTGGATCTCAAAATTCATAAAAATTCGGGCAAGCTCATAGATGGAATGTGCACAAAAAATCATTAAATGAGCAATTGTTTGGAGCCTATTTGTTGACAATAACAACAAAACAAATAATTTCCAGGCCCGTATCAATGTGTTTTCCGTATTCATTCCGATTTTAGTGTAAACATTTGAATCTTTTAATCCGATTCAATATTCACCGGAACCATAAAAATTCGGCCGGGGCCCACTTGTAAATTCAAATCCGGCGTATAGATGCGAAACGGAAAATGTAATTATACACGCTTATGATTTTCTAGTGAACTGCGTTGGTCAATGACTGGCCGACGCGAAAACGAAATTATTGGGAAATGAAAACTGATTTTTTTTCAGATGCGGTTTTGTTCATTGGCAATCTGTGATGAATGTCGTAAAACGATTCCCAAACGTTTCGTCGGTGTTTGTCTGCGAGAATCCACTGAAAAATGTTGTGCATTGTGAGCATTTCGACAAAATCAACACATGGAGGTTCTTGAATCTTGCAAAAGTTTGAGCATCGATCACAGTAATATATAAATGTACTTTTTAAAGACTGATATTAACTCATGGGAGAGCATTGACCACCTGAACAAGATGAAGTCTATCACAGATCTTCGAATTCCCAATATTCCCTTATTAGAAGGATTGAAGGATGAGGAAAGGCTTCACTTAATTATTGGAAGAATTCACCATTTACAAGTTTTGAATGGCTCTAAGATTACGTTTGAACAGCGCGAGCAATCAGAGCGATTCTTCATCCGTTACTATCAGGTAATTTTTTGTTTGTTTATCGTTATCTCTATGGCGCGCACCCTTCCTTATTTGTCTCCGATGAAGGGGCTTGTCGGCCAAGTATGTATATCAATGTTTCAGGAACAAAAGGAGAAACCCGAACAGTACAAGACGCTCATCGACAAACATGGGCACCTCGAAAAGCTCGTTAACATTGACCTGTCTCCTAAACAAACTGCCATTGTTCGCGTTCATTGCGAAGAGCGCAATTTCAATGAGGAAATGACGATTCCATTGAATAAAACGGTTTTGGAATATATGAAGTGGGTACATATCTTGATTTCACATCTTCTTCATTTCTTTGGAAAAATCTAATTAGCATCGTATAGCAGTGGCTTTCATAATGAGGTGCGAAAAACGACGAGAAATTTTGCAGAGCGCTGGACCCGAGAGTCGGAATAAAATATACACGCATGAAGCTCTTTTTGTTTCGAGGCGATGGACGTTGCGAAGATTTCGCGTCGAGTACTTATAATATGCAATTGCATTCATTTCGGCTCGAAGACGGAGATGTTTTCATGATTCAGGTAGTTGTATATTGCATTTGTTTGATTTTTCGGCCTAACAAAGACATCGGAAGAGGAAATGCAAAGAGGTTGTGAGCAGGTGATGCCTAATTGGCAGTCATAATGTGAACAATATGTTGAATTGGGCACAATTATTTGTCGTTCGACGGATTACCTTGACGGCAACCAACAAATGCACGAGTGTTTATTAAGAATATATTGAATTCCAATTTTATTTTCGGGTTGGGGGAAGATCCTGAATCCTGACGTAACGCTCCGCGTGATTATTTCGCAATATCTCATTCAAAAAAGAAGATCAACGCAATATCTCCGCATTATTTTGGAAACGCGTTTTCTGCTGGTTTCAAATTGCAGATCATCCATTTTAAAATCATAATTCAGACATTAAAAAAAAACACGTATCCATCCTTGCTTGATATGAATGATTGCATGCATTCATTTGTAGGAGAAGAACGTATCATTGTGCCATTAATTCTTGAATAGCTGGAATGTTGATGTATGACTGTCAACGATTGTTATAGAAAATAATGTTTGGTTTATTGAAGAAAATGTGTGCCAAAATATAAACCATTTACCACGCTTCGATGAAAAAGAAAACGTGTTTACTTTATAGACCACATTACCCCCAGCAAAATGTTTTTTTTTTTCTTATTTCAGAGCAAAGCCGTCGTAACAAAACGAAGACGGCCAACTAGTACAACATCAAGCACGTGAAGTTGAAACTTCTCTATTGTAAAAAATTGTACAACCTGCATTTTTACCATGTTAATTTTTGTGCTTTTGATAGTCCGTGAAACCTTTTTCATGTCATCTAATCTCCTAGAAATAACTAGTTGCTCGTTTTAGTTTTCACCGCCAATTTTTCGTGTTTTTCAGGTATTTCGCTATTGGTTATACCATTAGAATATCAATCTCAAATGTTTTTCTTTTGAAATTTTTCATTCTCAGTAAAATTCTCTGCAAATAAGGCTGCCCTTCGAATTTCGCTTTTTATAACATTTTGTACAAATTCCGGTTTTTAATTTTCTTTCATCACTATTTTTTTATATGAATTTGGAATAAATGTTTATGGAGTATATAGAATTGAAGCAAGCATATCTAAGAAAAAGCTCAAAGGATTATTTATTTTCTCGCAGTTCGTCCGGTCGACGGTGGCCTTCTCGCCGTTCCATTAATTTTTTTCACAGGCGTGGTTTTCGTGCCAGTCGTCGCCGATTTGGAGCCATCTTTGCTCGCAAGAGATTCCACCTAAAATTATGAGCATAGCATTAAATTTCTCTCGGAAAAGAAATGACTGAAAGGAAAACCTTGGAGTTTGTGCGCTCGCGATCCCAGAATCCACGCAAGCTGCGGCGAAGAATTTTGCCGCATGAACTTCGTGGAATTTCCGAAATGAAAAATACACCACCGCGAAGTTCTTTGAACGTCGCGATTTTTCCTAAATTTGATATTCTCTTTTGTTTGCAAATCTTTAGGATAATAAATTTAAACCAGACACATACTGCCGAACTTCTGCTGATGCAAGAAGTGGATGATTCGCATTTTTAACCACAAATGCTGCGGGAACCTGTTAAAAAAAAAACAATCTGACAAATAATCAAATCATTATCTTTACTTCTCCGGTGACATGATCTTGTCTACCCACAACAGCACAATCATCAATCCCAGCATAAGCTCTCAACACTAGCTCGACTTCCGACGGACAAATCTACGCAAATTTCCGCTTAATTTGGTAAGCCAAATTTATTTACCATAGTTCCTTTACACTTTATAATGTCTTTGATGCGATCCAAAACGTAAATCCGGCCAACCTCATCGTAGAAACCGGCATCTCCAGTTCTCACAAACCCGGAAGCATCGAATAGCTCAGTCGTTGCTTTTGGATTCTTGTAGTACGCTGGGATAACTTGCGGTCCCATAATAACTAATTGGCCAGGCTGTCGAGGAGCACAATGCTGTTTTGTCTCCCAATTTATAATCTTCAAGATTTCATTTTTTTGAAACAAAAAGTTCAGTATTGGATACCTTGAACAGCATTCCCGGTAAAGGGCTTCCCACCGATTCGATTTTGTCGTCCATATATGGAGCCATTGCTGCAATTCCTCCTAGCTCAGTCATACCAAAACCTTCAAATTCTATCTTTTTCATTTTTATGATTCAAATATTTTCTCACATTGTCTGAGATCTTTAATATTAAGCTTATTTTTCACGACTGTAGCCAAATTGGAGTCAATTGGAGCACCTGCGCAAACGACACTTCTAAGGTGCGGTACTTTGTACTCATCAACTATCGGGTCGGTAGCCATCCAATGAATTGTCGCCGGGTTGATATGAATCACGTTTATCTAAAAGGAGCCGATAGTTGTATAATGGTTTATCATTTCGTGCTACTTGATTATTAACGAGGGTGTCCATAAAAAGTCGATTCGAATGCTTCGATAGCAGATACAAAGTAGCACCATTTACGAGCGAGTAATAAGCCGACAACACGCCGAAAATATGAGCGATTGAGAGGGATAAAAAGAATTTCTCTTTTGGCTGTACTGGACCATAAAGGGGCAGACTCAGTTGTTGAATATTGATTATGATTGATCGATGTGACAGCTCGGCGGCCTAAAATGATGGAAACATGATGGATTCGCCAATGAAGCAACCTTTGCTAATCCAGTGGTTCCACTTGTAAACAAGATCAACATCGGATTGGCTGCGGGACTTGTATGTGATGGAGTTTGAGCTTCTTCACTATCATGAACTGATCCTTCAACATCACCATTGCATTCCTGTAAATTTATATAAATGCTTCAGTGTCTAGTGGTGATCTCACATTATTTTTGGAAACTACAGAAGTTTCAGATACTGGAGAAGTGAGTTCGGCAACATGGTCTTCCGGCAATGCCCCAATATTCCTGAAAATTTAGGATCAATTATTCCAAAAGTGTCACTCTCACAGTTTAGCTGATGACGGCTCTTTAACCAAAGGAGGTCTGGAATGAGAGATACTACTAGTATAGCATAATAATAATAATACAATACAAAGCGCTAAATCAAACAAGACAACTCACTTGGGTTTAATATCAATTGATCTGAAAGAATTAGGGTTTACTTGCATTTAATTAGAAAATTGTTACTTTTTTCGTCCACTATCTAAACAAATTTTTTCAGCAGTCAATACATCTTCAATTTGTCGAACATGCTTGATTCTACCGCCACCACGCATTTGTGCTTTTCTACGAACATCGTCAGCCTAAAGCAATGAAGCAGGTTTGAAAAAATAAATCAGGAATAACCTTTTGTATGAACTGAGATTCTACAATAAGATGAGTTGATTCGGAAAGATCAACCAATGTCCAAATTTCGTCTGCATTAATATTTTTATGTATTTTGTAAAAATTTTCTCGAAGCGCCCACCTACTGTGCTATGTCCATTTACAGCAACCGCTGAACATCCAATAATAGAGCAGGCCAAATGGACAAAAATAGCTTGGCCTGAAAACTGTATAAATCATTCATATTTGCTTGCTAAATACCAGTGGTTCCAGTAATTACAGCCACTCTACTGGAAGGGTTTACCTTAAAATCAACTCAAATAATTTTATGAAACATTGTTAACAAACTTGAAGCTCTCTTAAACGAGTTGCACACATTTCAGACCAATTCTTTATTTCGGAGTACCTCCATTGTTTTCCAGTGTCAACATCAATCTAAACAATAAAACAAAACTATTTTTATTAACATTCACGAGCAATTCTGACGAACAAATTAATTCAATATTTAAAAATTACCATTGCAAGATTGCTTCCATGCGACGGAATTTTTGAGAACAGATATTCCGATAATGTTTGCGCATTGGTTTTATCCCAGCTAATTTGAAAAGGGCTTTGAATCTCCATAATTTGAAATAAACAACAATACTGTGGAAATATGCGATTTGAAGAAGCGCACTGGGCAAGCAAGAAATGTTGTTTAAGAATGAATGAACAAGTAAGAGTGCAATTGCACATCAAAAATGCATACCAGAATTCTCATCTAACGGCTTCATCATCTATTTCTTCCTGTTGTTTCTCGCTGGCACATCTCAACCCACAAAATGTTTACCATGCAATCTTGATATCTATGGTCATTGTTCTCTCGGTTTTTTTTGCTTTTGATGACAATGTCAAAAGCTCAAGAACTGCTCGAGCGACTTGCACAAATTGTAATGGTTGCGAAATGCAAATGCTCAATACAGAGGTCATTTAGAATTTGAAACCCATAAAGTTTATCAAATTGCATTTCAGATCAAAATCAATGACTCATGTTGAATGCCTTCACATCGATACATGGATTGTTGAAGAACTCGTGACGGCCGTAGAGATAAGTCAACAGTACGAGCGATACTTCCTCGTTGTTAACATTGAGTTACTGTCTTTTTTTCAGGCCCGCCTTTAATTTTGAGTCACCGGCCGATTCAATAAGCTACGCTGAAAGTTTGGACAGTTTGCGACCATGCCAAAGATATCCGTATTAAAAATGCATATTTTATTACCCGACATTTAAAATAAATATATTTGCACCTTATATGTCCGTTTCTTTCAACACCAGACACGGGACAATAATTGATTGCTGATTCTTTGAAGGCACCATTATGCGGCGAATCACGTTGCCATTAATTCTCACAAATCCTCGCTCGGCTGATGAGGGTTTATCATAGCTCTTGTTCTGCACAATATACCCGTCCTTTTCAGTTATATCGTCAGGAAGAATCTGAATTTCGTAATTCAACAAAAGTGCTGTATTATGGTTCTACCTTAATATTATGCTCTTTAACAAGCTTTGCAACATTCGGACTTAAAGGCTCATAAAGAATATTTTTATGATGATATTGAAGATCCGCTAAGATATATTCGACACCGAGTTCCCGAGCTTGCTTTGAGTTTAACACGGCTCCACGAACTTGAACCAATTTCCCTCCGGCTGTTTTTATCACCTCAATTCCCGTGTGTTTAAGTATGTGCTCTCCAACCTGGAGTCCTCTGAAATATAGAAATTGAGAAACGATGACTTCTTCGTAATCAAATACGTCATCACAGCTCCTTTCGCATCTTCCATCTTGCTGCCCAAGTAATGAATTTTTCTTATATATTCGGTACCAGCGAGGTCAATACACATTGTCGCCCTGACAGAACAACGTATACTCACAGCTATCGAGATGGTAAACAAACAAGGATAATCCGAAAATAATGTATGCCATTGTGAAGAACATGTAAACTTGTTCTGTCGGAACAATGTCACCAAATCCCACCGTCGCCATTGTAATAAAACAGAAATAAAATGCCTCGAAGTACTGAAGGCCTTCCCAAGACTATAAAATTTGGCAAAATGAAAAATTGTTTTGACCATTATATTACTTGAAATAGAAATCCGCCAATTGCTGTATAAGCTAGAAGTACAAAGAGAACCATGAACACTGGAATTCGAAGCTCATCTTCGATTGAATCATCAGATTCCGAATCCATTTCATGTAGATTCAACGATCCAGCCTATTAGAATCTTGATGTCAAACCAATTCATGAATCATTTTGGTAAATACCTTTGAAGAACCCATTACGGAACTTGACCGAGAAGTAGGTGAGCGGTACTGAGTTGCAATTTTGCGAGATTGTCGTCGAAGCTAAAAATTTACATTCATTTTCGCTCTTCTTTTCAATTTCTAAAAGAATAGAAAAATGCATCTCATAGCTCTCCTTTGGATTCTTGATTTCATTTCCTACAAGTTGGGGCAGCTCATTGCTCGTTTATAACTTATGCAAAGCTATGTAGCGTACTGTGCGAGTTAGAAATGCATTGAAAAAAAGAAGCAGAATGTCTGGTGGGGGATAATGTCAACAAAATTGTTAGGCTCGAGAAAGCATTAAAATGAAATAATAAAACACAATGCTATTTCAGCGAATGTTGGAATGCTTACCATATTGGCGACGCTAGATCTACGTCTGGCAATCAGCTGAAACATACTTACCAATAGAAAATAAAGTTGCCCAATCAGCGGCTGAAATTGTTAAAACTTACTTTTCTCTTAAATGCTCTATATGATCTGTATAGAAAGCTGAGAAATTCGGACAAAAATTTTCCAATATCGGCAATTGTCACCAAAAGTAATGGGATTCCGAAAAGGGCGAAGATGATACAAGCAACGCGTCCTGAGGTAGTAGTTGGGACCAAGTTGCCATATCCTATTACTCTTATATTCATCGATAATATTTACAAAACACTTACCAATAGTTGTAATTACAGTTGCCGCAAAAAACATGGAATTTGGATAAGTCCATAACAATCCATCACCTTTCGTTCGATTCAATAAGTGGTTCTCATTGATGAATTGGTTGCGATAAGAAATGAAGATATTTTTGACAAGCTGCTCATAATATTCTTGATTTATTGAGTTGAAAGCTTCCCGAGATATGCGATTATCAACGTCCTGCAAAAAAAAAATATCGTTGAAACATAACACCCCGCAAATAGTGTGTACCTGAGTGATATTCCAAATATGATCCTGAAATTCATCGCGAAGTCCGAAAATTGTTTTCAATTCACGATCTCTTGTCTGTAATTAATTAATAAGCGCAATAATTTTGAATAATAAAACCTCCAACTCATTCGGTCCTTCAATTGCATGAAATATAGTGGCCCCAACAAATAGATACGCGAAGAGGAGCAGCACTAATCCCACATGAGGTAGTATTCGTTTTGCATACTCAAAATTGATGTTGAATTAATGATATCATATTTCTAATGCTAACGACTCTTTGCTATAATCATTCGTACAAAGAAATTTATCACGAATAAACGTATACTCATACTCATTACCGTAATATATTTTCTTTCTTTTAGCTCCATTTCAGTTTCATCGTCAGACATTGGTGGTCCGGAAACTGTCAAATCCATTTCCATCGGGATTTCATTAAGCGATGAGATCGAGCTCTCCGCTGACCCCTGACATGCAACAGGTTAACCGTTCAAATCAAATAGACTAACCATATCAAAACCATCGCCTCCATTGTTGTGTGTGTACATGTGTCGGGCTCACCGAGCAGCAGCAGTCGCGAAAAAAGACCAACAAACGACAGCTACTGCTCGAATGCTTTTGATATAATGGACAACTGATCAACAATGTGAAATGAAGAGAAAGATCTCTCATTTTGTCGTAAAACGAACCCAGAGGTGCTGAGAAACAAAATTAGTGGATGTTCAAAGACAGCTGAGCAAGCGAAAACACAAAAACGAAATGTGTGTAAAAATAATGAGAAAGTTTGGAAAATTGCACTTCTAAAAATATTAAAAGAGATTGTAAAGATGTTTGATTAGTACAAATGATGTGCGATACGAACAAAACTTCGTAGAAATTATCGAGTCCTTATTAAAATGCAGAATTCTATTCAATGCAAACGAATTCAATTAGATTTTTGATAAGATTTTTAAATCTATCAACTATTAAATTTTTTTTCGAAAGAGACTAAAGTTTTTTTTCATTGTTTCTAGTTTTGCCTACCCTATTTTCATTACCATGTCTTGTGGGAAAAGGTTTTTGAGAAATCGTGAAAATTGCAGCTTACGAATATATTTTTATTTTGTTTGTGCATGAATCTAGAATTCTGCTCTATAATCATTTATTAGTTTTAATTGTTTGTTAGTTAATAAATTTTTTGAGAAAATTTTCAGGACATTTAAAGTTTGTGATTTTACTTGCTCATTTTATATTATATATCTCCACGACAAGTGTTTCCATATACATATCTGCTAACTATTAAACCTTGTTTTTAATTCTATAGACATGTTATTGACTTATCATTCGTGTTATTCCTGTTTGTGGCCTGAATCAACAATTGTTTTCAGTTTGCATTTTTTTTTAGTTTATAAACTTTTCAATCAAATTTCTGTACGAATTCGCCCATTATTGATTCCTAATAACACACGTTCGTTTTATAAAACATTGCCATTCAATTGCTTTTTTTTTGGAAGTCCCATTTGCATTGTTGTGGCATTTTCTAATCAGTTTGTGTCATTGCTGTAAATTTTTCAAAAGTGCTTGATAAGGCCTGATATATTAAAGTGACTAATAAATGCCGAATATTGTTTCATTGTCCATCGTTTAGCAAAATGAGTGATAAGGTTCGTGGCTTAGGATGTTTGATAAGAATATTCACATGATGCTTTTTTCTAGCAAACTTCCTCATTGAAATAATTATTTCGCAATATTTCAGACGAGTACAATGAGAAGTGAAAAGAGATTGCATATGAATTTAGAGTTTATGAAGAAACTTTCTTCAAACGCAAACCAGGTAGTAGTTGTAAGCTGCATAAAATAACGACTAATTAGATTCAATTACAGAAGCATGAACCGAAGAAGCTTGATCCACTTCACTTCAAGGTAGTTTACATGTAATGGCATGATTATACTGATTATTTTTTCAGTGTAACACAGAAAACGCACTAAAATCAAAAACACTGCATCTAAATTTTAAAGTAGATTTAATTATAAATTCTCGTTTTATTCAAAAAAAAATCTGCAGAAAAATCGTCATGAATCATCATCATCATCGTCATCACCTCCACTTATTTCTGGATTGTCTGACTATCGAAATAGTAATTTCATGCTAATTGCAAATAATCTCGTGAGATTTTCAAGTTCTATCAGAAATGATACAAATGTTTTCAGCAAAGTCCAAGCGGTTCGACAGAATGCAATTTTCCGTTTTTAAATGTGGATGCTGCTAAATTAAGTAAAATTAATTATAAATATTTGTGATTTGAAAAAAATATATATTTCAGTGTCCAATTTTTCACCTAAATTTTGTATGCCTTCTTCCAGCATGGAAGAACAAGCAGGTAAGAAGAAGTTTCTGGAAATCGTTAAAGAACTATCTTTTGATAAATATCATATAAGTTTTGCAGGCATCACTCCCACTGAAATGAGCGATAACGAGCTGATAAACCGTGAGTGCACCGCTTTCATTAACAAACAAATGAATTTTTCAGTAAAGGCACCAGCCCGGTTAATAGGATTTTTAGTAACTGTTGCGATGACTCCTTCAGCTCACCGAGCAATAAGGTGGACTGGAAAAGGATTGGAGTTTGTTCTTATAAATAGAGAAATTGTCGCGAAAATGTGGGGGAAACGAAAACACAATACAAAAGTATGTTAAAAATTCTTGAAAATTATTAGTTCTCATTAACAGGATATGGATTACTTAAAACTGTCGAGAGCGATTAGGGAAAAATATGACAAAAAAGACAAGGATGGCAATCTGATCAAGAAAGGACAATTGAAGAAAGGATCGAGTAACCAATCGCATTTAAAACTTTATTATAAGATTAATTTTAGGAATTTATTGCTATGAGTTCACCGAAGAAGCGTATTCTGAGCTACAGAAACACACAGGAATGACAATAAAAGCCATAAGAGATTACGCGTATCGAAACAGAGAACAGTCATATCCGGATAATCAAACCCCTTCACCATGTAGTAGTAGTAGCTATTCAAAATAATTGTTATTTATTGTGCCAGACGTACGTGTATTCTTATTTTTCTTCTCCACTTTGTTTCCTCTAATTTCTCATCTAAAAAGCAAACGAATGCCGCTTTTGTTCAAACATTATTCTATTTAAAAAGAAAACAGTATGACATAACTGCTGAATTATATAAAAATGTTATTTTTGGAAACATTGTGTTCATCATCAAATTGCAGACATTGTTTTTCATGACAGACTGGTATTCTAATTATTCGCAGAAGATATTTCTTCGCCGTTATTGTATGTTTTCTGTTATGTACATTTATGCAAAATAAATTAGCACAATAAAAATAAGACGTTCTTTGTTTTAAGTTGATTTCGTGTAACATTTTAATGGTATTATTAAGGGGAATGTCCGCAGATGGGCTAATCCAGGTTTTTGTAATACATTGAGTCCAGTTTTCGAAGTATCCAAATGATAAAACAAAGGGGCATTACTATATGTTTTTTAAAACCCTTTTGATACAAAATTCATTCTCAGATTTCTTGCCCTTCAAATAGCATCGTTTAAATACTTGAGCATTTATCGCATCTTGCAAGAAACTTCAATATTTGTTTGGCATCTTCAATTTCATGAAATATTCCAGTTTTTCCTTCTTTATTTCCATTTCCAAAGGATGTGGGAAACTGAAAGGGTAATTCTATATAAGTTGTCTCATGATCAATTTTTCCCGAAAACACACACTCGCGAAAGAAATGCGCAAACGGAAATCAAGCCCGTGAATGATGGCTATGAAGGTGACAGGAAGACACGAATACATTATGGTTTGAGAAATGGGAACCATTTATGAAAATTTTTAAAAAGCTTTTACGAAAACGGATTACATGATTCGGGCTAACATTAATTTAAAATATGAACAAAAAAATATATACTAACATATTACATTGTGAAAATTGCAGCTTATGAATATCTCTGGTCATTTTTATTTCGTTTGTGCATGAATCCAGAAGCCTGCTCTATAATAACATTTATTGGTTTTAATTGGTTATTAGTTAATTTTTTGAAAGAAATTTTTTAGGAGATGGCCTTCGATTCAAAATTGTAGATTTTAATACACTTGCCCTTTTATATTATTATCCGAACGACAAGTATTTCCTAACTGATCGCGTATGTTCCATACTAATGCAAATGCCATTCAAAAAATCTCAAGAATATTCAGGAAATAATTAACATATTTCGAGCAGCGTTATCTCGAAATCAAGCAATTTGCAACTGCTGGTCTAGACGTAAGTCATGATTCGTATCGATGAACATTTATGTATAATTGATAAAATCGATTTGAATGGTTTTATCAGTTCCAGACATCAATCTTACAGATAACAATATATATGACTTCACCGAGCTTCGTGAAAAGGAACTGCAATTTTTCTCGGGGATGAGCATTGATGAGCTCGTGGAATATGCGAGATGTGTAAGCCCCTACACATGCGCATCGGAATAAGGACCAAATCTTTTATCTGTTTTGTTTTATTTTCGCATCGTCGAACAAACAATAAAATTTTGTGTACAACCATAAGAGATGTTACTCAAATGAGCTAAAAAACATTCTATTTTGCTTTGTCAATTCAATCTACGGCAAGCCCAAAAAATGTGTCTTTTTTCAAGCCGAAAAATGCCGTTGTCGTTGTTTGGTGCATGCATCTGCTCGCGCATCTTGCTCTGAAGTGATGTCTTTTCACAATCGATCTGTTTTCGTTTTTGGCGGATTGCTTAAAACTGAGAATGTAGTTTTTTCTTTTGTTTATTCTTTTTATTTTCTAAATTTTCGTAAAAAAAACGCAGGATTTCTAGAATATTCCAAATTTTGAAATTAGTTAAAAAAAATAAGAAATCGACAAGTGCTTATTTTCGTAATGTCAATGAAAAAATCTCGTGTTGGACCAATTGTGTGTTCAAAATAAAAGAGGCACATAAATCGACCGAATATAGGATATGCCAATTTAAGACAATTCAAAAAATGTTTAAATTATTCGACAATAAGATAAAAAAATATAATAATGAAATCTACTTTATTAAGAAAGACTGGAATTCACTAAGTTTTTAAGAGATATTTTCGTTATCGACGCCAAATTTACATCTTTAACCAAGAATATATTCAAAATGTAAGTTTCGGTTGAGAAGTTATGTATATTGTGTGTTCATCAAACTATATATACATATTCAAGATCAATTACAAAAAAATGGAGCACTCTGAGTAAATTTATGTTGAGTTCGATTTGCAGTACCAGAAAGGGTTGCGCGGAATTTCTTCTCTGTTGTTGGAATTCTGTACGGTCCCACTGCTTAATTGCAAATTTTAACTACCGAACCCGAAAAGACGCGATCATCAACAATTACCCAGGATTCTCGTGTCTTTATTTAAAAAATGCAAAATTAGTTTCAATTTCACATAAATGAGAAATCTATTAATTGATTCGAGAAAATTATGAAACCTTTTTTTTTTTCAAATGCGAAAAATTGCGTCTTAGAAAATTAATGTTAATTTTGCTTATGTTTGTCGAGCTGAAGAGCTTTTTTTCAACACTGAGTACACGTTGCAACTAAACAGCGAGAACAGGCTAAACGGAGAGAGCAGGTGCGAAGAGTGATCCGAATAAAACAAGTATTGCTGAGAAACGGAAAAGAAGCTGACGTGTCTCCGTTTTTTTTGTGCCATCGTCCTCATCTTGTCCAATCTGTCAAAACACGACTCATTGACCATTTGAGCTTGATTATTCGGTGGATAATTATTCGAAATGTCGTCAAGAAAGTGAGTAAATGTTTTAATTGGAAAAAAATTAAAATTATTCCAATATATCTGGTAATCGAACTCATTTTTCGGAATTGTATATTTTTTTGTGAAAAAATACAGAAGAAGTGGAACATCAAAAGTTGTTCACCTCGTATTTCAAGCAAACAGTCCCATTGGGAGCAATCCCAGATTGCTTGAGCTTTTCTGTTTTTCTTTTTTGTTTTTTCTGCCATTGCCTAAACTTCTATCCAATTTATCTTGCACCACACGCCTTGGAGTTGAATTTCGAGAAGGATCTCCTCTATTGCGATGAGTCTTGCCAATACATATATTTTCCTTCGCAAAGTCCGAAACGCAAATCAATTTTTCATGCTCTCACCAACTACACCAGCGTCTCATTTCGCCAAGTGAAAAAAAAATGCAAGCTTCATGTCATTTTCGCCGTGAATAATTATTTCGGAGAAATTGAAATTTGAGACGAAAATGCGAAAAAAGCATGGATTTTAGAGGGAAAAGATTCAACAATATCTACATAAATAAATTATTCATATGCTGGGTTTCGAAACGTGGAATTATGAATTATTTTTTTCCAGAACAATTGCATCTCTTAAATACCAAAAACCAAAGAAGCCATGTTTGTTCTATCTTGAATGCTGCCAAGGAACCATTTTCTTTTTATTGGTTGACTACGTTTTCAATTGTTCTTTTTGCAGAGTTTCGCGTGCTCATAACGACACCTTTGTTCCGACGAACGCCATGAGTCTTGTTGCTGAAGGCCATTTCAGGTTTTGAAAATCTCTTATATGTAAATCGGCAGTGCTTTGAAGAAAGCCACTGTCGTATTCATCTAATTAAAAAATTTAATTAAGAAGCTCTCGACATTTCAGCGGGCGGACAGCTTTCCAAAAAAAAAACGGAGCTTTCCGTTCGCCGCGCAGTTCTCTTTATTCGAGACATGGCATTTATGTACTCATTTTTTCAGAGGCATGAAGGAGCTTCTCTCCACCATGGACCTCGATACTGACGCCAACACAGTATCCGAGCTCAAGGAAAGAACTCATATGCTTTGTGCAAGATTCCTTGGTGGAGCATGGAAGACGGTACCACTGGAACATTTGAGAATCAGCCGCATCAAGTAAGTCTTCTTAAATTAAGATTCAAATTGTGTCAATTTATAGTGATTGTGTCAAATTATAATGAGAACTTCATTTTTTTATTATAAAATCTTGTAGTCAATGATCGTGTTCAGAGGAGGAATGAGCAACATGCTTTTCCTTTGTCGTCTTTCGGAAGTTCATCCACCAATTCGCAATGAGCCGAACAAGGTGTTGCTTCGCGTGTATTTTAATCCAGAAACCGAGAGTCATCTTGTTGCCGAATCGGTCATTTTCACATTGCTTTCCGAGAGACATCTTGGTCCAAAGTTGTATGGTATCTTCAGCGGTGGCCGACTCGAGGAATACATTCCGGTATTTTTAACTTTTGATGTTGAACACAATCGAATATTTCTTTTCTGGAGCACTTGTACGATGACAAATCCAATTTAGCTTATTGTGAGAGAAAGTGAGCAACTGAAAAAATTTTGGAATGTGCACTTTTTTTTAAATTGTTAGAGGATGGAATCTTTGGAAAAAAGCGAAGATTTTTGGATTTTCCAATTGTGTAATCATCAAACAAGCCCCCAAAACACCGTTTTTTGTATAGTTCTGTTTGAGGAAGCCATATTTATTGGTCAAAAATTTTTAATTTCAGTCACGACCATTGTCCTGCCGTGAAATTGCTCTTCCTCACATGTCGGCGAAAATTGCTAAGCGTGTGGCAAAGGTTCATCAGTTGGAAGTTCCAATTTGGAAGGAGCCTGATTATCTGTGCGATGCTCTTCAGCGTTGGCACAGACAACTCACGGGTACCGTGAATGGTGAACACAACTTTACTCTTCCTGATGGCGGAGAAAACAATGTTCCGATAAGTGTCACTTGCAACGACCTTGCAAGAGAGCTAGAATTCTTGAGAGATCACATATCCAAAAGCAAGAGCCCCGTGACCTTCTGTCATAATGATTTGCAAGAAGGTGTAAATTGATTAATTTGCATTAAAAAAACAAACGACATTTTAGGCAATATTCTCCTTCCAAAGGCATCTTCTGGAAACATCAGAATGCCTTCGGTGACCGATGAAACAGCGAATTTGGGAAACAGCTTGGCTGCTTTCAATCCAGCAGATCCGAGATTGGTGTTGATCGACTTCGAATACGCCAGCTATAATTATAGGTAACGGAAATGTCAGGATTGGAAAGAGAAAATTGGCGGTTGGCGCGTGAAAATTGTAGCGTCATGTTTTCGAAAACAAAAATACATTTACAGGGCTTTCGATTTTGCCAATCATTTCATTGAGTATACTATCGACTATGATGTTCATGAGTCGCCATTTTACACCATCGAGCCAAATCATTTTCCATCACGTGAAATGGTAAATGGATTTAACATTGAAAATTAATTTTTTCTCTTGAAGATGCAAGAATTCTTTGTAAGCTATCTACGTGAGCAAGGGGGTCATAGAGAATGCGACTTATATCAAAAAGCAGAGAGTTTAGTTGAAGTAAGAAATTATGAGTAGACAAGTTTGCAAAAAATTACAAATAACATCTTTTAGGAAACCCTTCCATTCGTTCCAGTTTCTCATTTCTTCTGGGGAGTTTGGGGACTTCTCCAAGTCGAACTTTCACCGGTTGGATTTGGGTTTGCCGAGTATGGAAGAGACCGTCTCTCGATGTATTTCAAGACCCGGCACTATTTAGAAAAACTGGCCGATTAGTTCCGTCATAATTTAACGATATTCATAATAATCCAACGTTTTAATTCCACATAATGCTTGATATGACCATTAGTAAAAATGTTATTGTTTGAGTTGCGTAAACGTATGTAATGAAACATTTATTAGTTGAAAACCTGATTTTTCAAGTCAATATAAAATAATGAGAAATAAAAAAAAACGGTGAAATAGGGTGGTGGAAATATTTTCGAAGGCAACTTGGCGATGCCAACAATACAGAAAAAGCTTGAAGTTTATGCAACATTATTGACAATAAATGAGGATTTTTGTAAAACTAGTTGTAAAGTTTTCGCGTGTTGTTTCGTGAGACAAATGATTGCAAATTGAGGGCTACGAGCTCATTGGTTCGAATCTATTGCAGCTTTCTTAAAGTGAGGGAGAGGATAATAGGCAACTTCACCAGTTTCTATGATTGCAGTTGAACAGCAAGTGATAATTGCTGTACATAATGAAAACTATCCGAGAAAATTATATACAAGACATTGAAGAATGAGTAGTTTGTCGAGAATATGAATGTGTAGAATCGTGAAATTAACACATTTGGCGGTTCATTTGAGATTGCACAAAATTGTTGATGAGCATTCTCATTGCTGGGTTTTGCAGCAAGTTGGATGGTGTTGCCGGTCCCATTGGAAGCATTGGGTTGGGGAAAAGCGCCGGTGGGATGATTGGACGTGGTACCGATTCCGGAGAAAGTGACAACTTGCGCAGCATTTGGAGCTGGCATTGAAGTTCGCGGATCTGCTTCTCGTAACTTCTGCACTTTTCTTCTGAAGCGGACAATTTTCCTTTAGCGACCTACAAAATCTTTTTAATTTTTAAAATAATTGAAATCATTTTACCTGACAATCGAAACACTTGGTCTCTCCAGAGTGAATTGAGGAACCACTAACGTGTGAATCCGAGACAGTTGGAGATGGCTGCTCTTGGAGTAGATGCTCTTCGATGCTCATCTTAAGACGTGGAGCTCCCTCGTCTCCTTCGACATCGATATCCTCGTTATCGTCAAAGCTCAACTTGCGCTTCACAGAAGTTTTCTCGATCGGCTCAGCTTTGACAATAACCGAACGCGGACTAGTTTCACTGTTGATCGTCTCCTCATCTTTGAGATCTTCCTCAGTGGTGTGAACCTCGAGCTCGTCATAGTCGCTTGAATTTTCCTCTTTTGGGGTAATGAGTCCTCTCTAAAAAAGTTTAATTTTAAAAATATTTTTTGATATCATTTTTTTACCTGTGCATCTTTTTTCATTACATTCTGCATATTGAAGTTAGCGCCCAACGGATTATTGGCAAGCCAGGCTGTGAGAAAATTGTTAGCTCCCAAACTGGATAAGTCCAATGGGAACATTGGCTTATTGGCAGTGACAGATTCCTGAGACTTCAACAGGTTCGGGAAAATTGAAGCCAAATTCTTGTTGTTAATGGCGGTGTTGTTGTTGGTATTTTTCACATTTTTAAAGAGTCCGTCAGTTGAAACGGCTGGAGATCTACTTGGAGATTCTGGACTGCCAATGTGTCCATCTGTAAAACTAAATTGATAAGAGCAAGTCGACGAAGAATAATTGCAACCTTCCGTGGAACTTCTCGCAAGAACTGCAACTTCGCCCGGAGTTCCGTTTCTGAGCATGCTTTGCATGTGAATGTGGAGACTAGTCTTGTCAGGAAAAGCCCAGTTGCAGCAGCGGCACATAAACATCCTTGTGATATTGTGATAGCGGAACATGTGACTGCGCAAAGTGTCGTTGCCTGAAAACAAAACAAATCAAGTCCCTGGATTTGATATTTGAATTCCACCATTGCTTGGATTCTACTACAGTAATCATTGAATAGGTCTTTGTTTGGCGCAACTAATTTATAATTCACTTCGAACACAGCTAATTTTGCGCGGATATGTTGCCATTAACGGCAATGTTGTCATTGGGAATTGACAAATGTCTATCGCAATTGGCAACAGTATGTTTTGAAGTGAAAGAGTCAACGCAAATTTGCATGTTTTGGCACATTGCCGAAATCACCCTTTGTTGAATAGTAAACGCCCGGCGTGCATGCCAATTAACGTCGAATTTATGAGCTTCATTTCCGACAATTATGCATGGTTTATATTTCGATTCGCAAAATGTTGCGCGTTTGCCGCTTATTGTTGCTGTTGCGTAATATTTGATCCGCCCGACATTTTATTGTATTGTTTTTAATCCATGCCGATCTCGATTCAACTCTTGCATGTTGGATTAATACGGCATGATTCGAGGTTGAATCACACGTTTCAAGAGATAAAAAAATGTGCGAGACGAGAGTGAAAACTAGATAGTTGCACTATATAGCAAATATGATGGTATGTGGCAATTAATTGCCACCACCACCATCACACTTTCTTACTCCTAAATGGAGCCATCGAGGCGCGCCGAAGCGTGAATGATTGCGAACAATAGTTTCGGTATGAATGCGATTTTTTCGCCGAGGACCTCAATCATCACTTGAGACGACGAAATTGTTGCAATCGCTGCGAAAAACAACCTTGCAGCTCACTTAACGCAACAATTATGTAGCTGTTCGGATGCGGCTGACCTTGGAGACACTGAAGGACCAGCCGATAGGCGGCGTTGGTCAGCGTGTTCCGAGAAAAACCATTAAGTAATAGTAGGATCTCCAACTACGATATTTATGTCGTTGGCCAAAAAAGGGTGCGGAGAACGTTGGACACTCGGTGAGATGAGACAGGAAGCCGCCCTCAATTAGGCCGTTCCCTATAAAATGCGTACCAACATATTGGTACGTAATCCGATGCCATGCATTCTTTTGTAACAACATGCGCATGTTGTTGTACCAACATTCCTTAATTAGTAGAAAAGCTAGCGCCTTGGAATATACACTAAATAATATAAAACATATGCTGACCGTCATCGCAAAAATTGCACTAAATGCGATAATATTTTGTTTTTTTTTTGTGGTATTCCGTTTTTGCCTTTTTGAACACGTTTTTTCTAGTATCCAAGAAGCTTAGTTACTACGTCGCTTTTCGTGTTTGTTTTATTTGAATATTAAGAAATGCGCGAAACGTGCATGTTTGGTCATCTTCTGAGCCACTGCAAAGCCTATGTGATTAGCTTAATTCATAGGTGTTGGCACGTGTCAAACAACTCACTCAAATAGATACTATTATAGTTTCGGGGAGGCAGCTCATGTATATTGCTGCAAATATTGACATTTACCGTATATGGCAGCGCAAATAACTAAGTAACTGTTAATTCTTGGCGCGCGAAACTATTTTTCAATTAGTTGGGTTCCTTCAGCGTATACTAAAAAACGGTTTGCAATTGTTCATCGATTCCAAATGCGACAGTTAGAAAAGAAATGTATATTTTAAGCATTGTTCGGTATGAATATGGTTTTGTTGCGTTTGCGGTATTCAATACCATCATGCTTCCTCTTCTTTTGATGCTGATTTCAAGACAGTATTGCCGATTTCCCTATATGACTAAAATGATTCGTTTTGTGATGCGCATTGTTGCCGACCGAAGGAATGCAACAAAAATTTTGAAATTTGTAGGCATGTACAAAGATTGTTGATAAATAGCGACTTACTTGAGATTTCCTGATTACACTGTGTGCAGGTGTACGATTTGAAATGAGCTTGCATACGGTGGCGGCTCAATGATGAACTGTGGCAAAAGATTTTTCCGCATACCGAGCACGGAAACGAGCCTTCAAAAAATATTGGGATGAAACAAGAAGAATGACTTATTTAAGAACCTTTCAAGTCCGGTCGTTTCAGTTCTGCACGATACGGCATCTTCTGAAAATTAACATTTCAAATTAAAAACAGAAATGACGGTGTAAGGTGAAGTAACGACAAGACGAGATGAGTGGTTAGTTATTGAACACGAAAATGGTAGACGTAAAAAGTCGGCTCTTAAATCGTTAGCAATGGAGGCAAGTGCCTCCGCCTCTAGTAACTACTTGAAATGTTCGGGGGCGAAAACTCTCAAAACAGTATTCCGGGGAGTTCATCGGAAGGCCGTCGGCGACTGTCACCCCATGTTTACAATATTCAAAACTGATACAAAACCGAATTCATTCACCCTACTCGCGCACTTCTTAATAGCCAATGAGAGCGTCGGAGCACAATTGGTGCAATTGTCAACAAGCTGTCAAGGATTACGGTAGCTCAAGTATTTCACGGTTTTCAAAAAGTCAAATACAGGAAATTGTGGTTTGAGGAAATTCACAACTCGATGACACACACTTCACACCACGCTTCTCAAAATGCTTTATAAAATGCGTTTCGATTTAATCAGAAAAAATCTGAAATTTACGTATAATCCAAAAATCATGAGCAGATAAATATATTTACATTAATATTGGGATAAAAGCAAAAAAATAGTGTAGTTGAGGAGAATTATCTTTTCGAAATACGACTAGTGGCTTGCACCTTTGGATTCGCTCATAATCTCCAATTGAGAAACGATGACATGACACACGAACTCATTAAATAAGTGCTCGGATGGAATTGAACGATCAAACCTACCGTAATCTCCAAACCGACTTGGTTGGATATAAATGGCAACATGGTAGCTGGTATGCGAGCAAAGGACAGTTTACTCCCCGCTCCCGTTGTCTCTTTGCTAGTGGGATGGGCGGAGCGTCGTCGGCGGCCTCCATCACGGGTGGCAGGCAGCCGATAGAAGCACCGTATATGGAAGATAGGGTCAAGACAATTCTTGAGCTGGACTTTAACAATAATGTTTTAATTAATTTGATTCGGAAAGGTTTTGTCAATTACTCAACTTCCACTTTAGAGAAGTTGAGCGAAGGGAAAAATTCGGACAGTGAGCTTCTCGAAAAAAAAAAGAAAACGATAGGCTCGATAATTGAGGAGCCAAAAATAGATCGTGGTGCACCTACAATTTAAGGAATTACTTGTTTTCTTTTATTAGGTAATTATTTTAATGACGTCATTGGGCTGTCTGTAAATTCGGGAACAAAACTCTTTCGAATAATAAAAAAAAACATCCCTATTGTGAAATACTGAAAAGAAAAGAATAAATACAATACCAGAACGTGATTGAAATTGGTGTCAGATTTTGAAGAAGGCTGTCGAATAGGTTGGCTAATGTTTCCGCACTTCACCTGTTATTTCAGCAATCTTCGTTGTCGATGGGGCCCCCTCCAACGTCTAACTTGAAAACCAGTTTTGTAAAATTGAACATGGGGGGGGGTTAAGGCAAGGGGACGGCTGATCGGCCTCGGAATAAAAAAAGAGAATTTTGTTCAATGAATATCACGCGCGCGCTAGGCAATGCTTGCGACCTCCGGTAATCATCGGCAAAGTTTAGCCGGTTTTTTTAATGCCGTCAACTCGCCAGCGCACCAAATACCGTGAACTTTTGCCCTCTCGCCGATTTTGTCCAACCATAGCAATGTTCTCTCGCGGATTGAAAATTTTTAATGGCAGGCCGGCTATTTGCCATAAGAGGAACAATTTAATTCCCCACCTCATCGTTATAATGATACTACATATATATATATATGAGTAAACTATGCACTATGCGTTTGTATACGTTGAATCACAACATTTTGTAAGGGAGGCATAATACGAGTTAGCTCGGAACGACGGATAAGAGATACGGAAAAAAGATAGAAAATATATATGTGTATCTTGGCTTGAGATGACTGTAATAGGATCGAGACCGCCGGTAAATATACGACAGCGTTGTCCTTGGCCGCTAGGCGAACGCATAACGACCGTTTTCTTCCGTCATGAGGATCCGAGTTGCTACTAATCAGCAGCTATCAAATCGATTCTTATCTGTTCAACAAAATCTATCCATACAGAAAATATGACAAAAGAATAAGAAATGAATCTAACGCGGGACGACGAACATAAATGGCATCGAGCATCGGAGCCAATAATGTTCGTCGGCCGCGAGTTTACAATCGCGTGGCATGGGAAATCAACACTATAACCGCTAATACGATTCCAATTTGATTGCCATGAACTATAAGCGCAACGAATTTCGGACCAGGAAAAAAAACCAGACGATGAGTAACATCGCACCAGGTTATGTCATTGCGGGAGCGAGATTGTCAAAGGACGCCGAGAGGGAATGACGAGAGGCTGGCGCCTGACTGTTCGACCAGAGACAGACAGTAGTTGTGATTGCGCAAAAGCAGAGCATGCTTTCTAGGTCACAACGGCATGCGAAGCTAATCGTTTTAATCGTTTTCAAGTTGAGAGAAACCAAAAAACAGAAATTCACTGGACAAGGTTGAACCGTATAAGGGGATCGTCAAGGAATTTGGCGTCTTTTTTAATTTGAGAACGAAAAAAAAACAAAGAACATATGAGCTTAAGAATTAAACTGGCTGACTGCTAACATCATTCATATGACAATCACTATTTTCAAAACTAAAATGAGCGAATGTTTTTTTTTCGCATCAATAGAAAAAAAAATAGTGTTTTTTCTATTTTTTAAACTCATACATTTTGTAATTATCGTTAAGAATTTAATAAACTTAAAAAGAGAATCTTCGTATTGTATAAAAATAGGCTACAAAGCGTGAATAGTGTCGGCAAACTTCAAATAAGCTATATCATAGATTTTTTCTGCGCATGGTCAATGGCACATGTGTGTTTCGTCTGAAACGAATTGCAACATTTGTGCATTTACACTTCGTCAATCGAAGCGCCCATGCGCGCATTTTTATTTCATAGAGTTTTACGGTCATCGCGATGAAAGTGTGATCGACCTTGCGCCGATGTTCCAAACGTTGCGCAATTAGCCGCCGTCGGGTGTGTTTTCTCGCCCCATCGCGGGCTATTTCCATCAATCAGCTGTATTCTACAACGATCGCTGTCTCGATACAATCACCGATAAATTGGGAATTGACCCAATGACTAGGCAATCAAAAAACGATGTGCCCGCGCCATCGGCAATTCGCACTGAAATTACGAACAATTTCAGGAATTGCGCAATCATGTAAATAGCTGCTGATGGAACGTTTTGTTCACTGTAGATAACGAGCGAAGCGTGTAAATGTGTGTGTGTGTGTGCGTGTTCAACTAATCAGTTGATCTTCAACCATTCAGTCATGTGTCTTTCTAATTTTGAATTATTCAGCGTTGAAAAAATAGCGATGTCGAGACAATGATAGCAACTTCTTGATTGGAAAACCGGCTTATTCCTTGATAAAACAAATTTTTTAAATCATGATATTGTAATATAAATTGAAGCGACTTCCAGATGTTCTTCTCATTTAGGTGTCGTCATGAACATTTCTATGTCGATTCATAACTGCAAAGCTGTGCTGCAGCTGGTGCTGCTTGTGAGTTTCAAGGTCACGATACAACTCATTCTGCTTATTTAAAAAGAATGAAAGAATGATCATCTTGGAGAGTTCAGTTTAAAGCTTGGGGAATATTTTGGTTTTATTCTCATCTGGTCCTTTGCATAAAAAAGATAAATGGGTGTCCAATTTTGTTGAATATCGGCTTAAATCAAAATTTTAAGAACTTTGTATTTATAGAAATTTTAACCATTCTTTACAAAATTATGATTTTTTTTTTTAAATTTTTTTTTCAAAATCGAGTTGCCCTTTCTAAGATTTTCTTTTCTGTCTAGTTCATTTTTGTTTTTCTTTTCTGATGATTGTCATTAGCGGGTGACAAATGAGTACGTGAGTACTATTCATACCATTTCTATTCAATACTAAGAAAAACGAGACATATGCCTGACCCTCGTCTTGTCGGCCGCCTTTTCTTCCAGGATACTTGGCTCCGCGGGCAGGTATAATGCATGCTATTGTATTCGACTTCCTCTTCATATCCGCCACTGTAACCACTAGCACCGGCTAGTCAAACACAAACCCGTCTCACCTAAATGGGTTGTACTGCATTCCTCGAGAAAAACGACGCACCATACCAAAAGATAGCGAGATACACCAACACTAATTAGATCTATCGCTTGATTTCGGGAATGTCCAGCTACCTGTCATACCCCGCCAAAATCAAAGCTGGCGAATAAATGCGGCACGAGAAAGGTCAATGCCTTTAGTTATTCTCGAGGACTGCCCACAGAGAAGATTGGACGATAAACGGATAGATTGTCATTCTGAGATATTGTATCGTGGCTAGTCCGTTCGCAAGTATCATGAAAACCTGAGAAGACGAAAAAACCCGATGGTGGGATCGTATGAATACGATGGAAGAGGAAACTTGTAATTAAGTCTAGCCGAGAGTATCTTAGGAGTTTGCATATAACAATGTGCATGCGGGTCATTAAACCTCAATTATTTGCATCCAGCTATGGTTCTGTTTGCAGATTAGGGACTTATGCTCACGTGCTCAAAAATAATTTTTTATGAACTCAATTGAAAATTTCTCAGCCAAAAAAAAAGAAATTTGGTTGTAAAACTAGTTTTTTTTTCAAAAGTTAAAAAGATAAGATAAAAATTTGAAACGAACATAAAATTAGTTTCAAAGGTAATTAAGAACTTCCGATTCGATTACCACTTACAGTTTTACAAAAAAAGAACTATATTTTTTAAAATTACTTCAATTTACGGCAATAATAACCAATATTAAATGTATTTTCTCATGGCCTTTCTTTATTCTAATTAAAAACAAATTGTATTCTAATGTGGAATTATGTTTAGTCAAGGGCAAAATGGTGAATGAATTAGGATTAGTCATTAGGTGAGAGTTAGTGGCCGATTAGCCGAGCTCAATACAACTCGGGCCACCCGCAGTGCTACAAGTGATTTCCCACCATAAAATACTTGACTAACAATGGT